AAGAAAGTGCATTGAAAGGCGCAAATTTGCCTCAAAGGATACGCGACGCAAATAATTTGGCACTTTTGCTAGCACCTCCGAAATGATTCCAAACTGAATGGTTAATCCAGTGCAACGCACTTTCCTGGGTGCAGTGGGGAAATTTGCGTCAACAATGTCATATACATGTAGGAGAAATCTACAAACAAAAAACAGAAGAAAATTCTGTAGTGAACATAATCAGTGAAAACGATGAAGGCATAACATTTAAAACCAGATTAAATTCGAAAGAATTGGCACGGAAAGTAGGTAAGTACATATTTATGCAAAATATTGCAGCTATTAATGTGTAATTGGCCAATTTGACGAGTAGAAGCTGATTTGTGAACTCTCACCGAAAAGCTTTCGCAGAGAAACAAGAATCGATCATCGCAACGATTCGTTGAGTTGCATAATGGTCACGTTTATTCCTAGAAATACTAGGTGATAAACAAGCCTTTCTCCTTTAGGGGATAAATTTAGGTATTTTCTCTTTCAAAGTAGCAAAGTAATGAAAATTTGAGAAACTCTGTACAAAATCTAGAACCTAACTTTGTTAAAAGATGTAAAAACAAATCCAAGTTCCCGTTTTCGGCAAAAAGTTGAGCGGTTGCTGTATCAAAAGCAAGACAATCGGATTGTGAAATGGCGTCCGCTACTCCCTGGTGAATGGACCGCGGCGTGGCTTCCCATACAAGGTGATGACGATGAAGGCTGAATTCAAGCCTAAAGTGCTTTGTTCGTTAAAGTTTCTTAATACCTGTAAATAAAGTTTTCTGCTTCTTTTTTGACTCCAATCAGTTGAATAACGGCGTAGAAAATTTGTTGCGATTGCTCGAACTTTTTCTAAAAAAAGGGACCTAGAAGTCGAATTTAAAGCTTCTCGAGTACTGGCATAAATTGATATCCAAAACAGTTCTAAAGCTTTTTAGTTTATTGTTACAAATCAAAGCTAACCTGCATCATGATCAACTAATCAACTGCACCCGGTAAATTGATGTCGGTAGCCAAAAAGACAATGTCCTCGCCTAAAGAAAACATTATTGATATTGATCAGTTAAAACATACCCAGTAAAGTCGTAATGCTTTTATGGATTTTCATCAAATGTGGCATCACTTCTTGAAGGGCTCCTTGCCATCTAAAAATTTATCTATTAGTTTACCAAAAACCCAAACAAACTAACCTGCACGACGCACGGCAAGGGCGGCTGTAGGGTCTGTAAAGAACAAATTGTTACATAAATTTATGTACTTTGTACGTCATCTTCAACACTAAACACTTACCTGAACTCAAACGCCTCTTCATGGCCCACTTTATCGTAATCAGTTAAAGTTTGTACTTTCTTTGATTCTTTGATCAGATGCTTGATCAGACCACATGTATCTCCGACATTTTCTTATAACTTTCTACCAGGATATTGCACTTCCCTTCCCCCCGGCCCTTCCCCTGACCCGATCATAACACCTCTCCTTCTTGACTGATTCACTTTTTACCACCCCTTCTCCCTTTTTTTTCTTCAATTTTATGGCCATCACCACTTAGGCACTCTGATCGAGCTTTTGCAAAAAATTGAATGACTTTTGATTCATCTTAAGACTTGTTTGTTCCGTGTTTTTTACTTCTTTAGAAAGCTTTTACTTACTCTTACTATTAGTACTTTCTTTAATCTTAAGACTAGCACTAGAACTATACTATACTAGGTTATTACATACTATTTTACTATATACTATTATACTACTCGCGACTATCTATACTAGACTTCGACTTAATAAATAAAAATATTAATATTAATTCTCCCAATATTAATATTATTGGGAGAATTTCATTACTCTTCAAAGAATTCTTAGTCACGAGGAATCCTGTGACTAGAGCACCAGTAAGTGCAACTGTTCGGATCTCTAGATTATTATTCGAGTTATCGTAAGCCAGTATTTAGGTACAGTGGCTAGACCAAAATTAGACCAAACTAGAAGCCAGGTTCAAGCCAGTTCCGGCCCTGGAAATAGAAATTAGACTTAAGCCAGGTCCAGATACTTTTGCAGATCAGTTCTTGCCTTGTCCTGGTGTGACCCGGGGAATTGATTTGGAAGACCTGTAGGCCAGATCAGAACAGATGACAGGACTGGCTTCTGACTTGGCCCTAGTCTGACTTGGATGGATCGGTTTTGGAGCTATGGAGTATGTCAATACGACCAACACAATCGTTACAGTAGGCAATTGTACAGTATACAAATTTCCATGAATTCCGAAGGGATTTGTGAATTCTCTGTACTCCTTCCGGCCCCCTTTTCTAATTCAGATTCAGAAGCATTTTTTTATCATTTTCTTTGTCTACAATTACAATGGTAACAAAGCACTTCATTTCTTTCACTTTTCAATAGGACTCAAGTCTGTTAGTCACTTTCATTCTTTTATTTATAGTTCCAGAAATCATTTTTTAACAGTTTAACAGTTCAAACTTCTTTGAAAGCGTTTCTGGAACTTTCTCTTCCGTTGACCAACATCTCATTTATCTCATTTATACAATCGGAAATGAAAATGTGAAGGAAACTCCTAGAATAGTCACCAAAAAATTTACTTGCATTCATCGTTTTCTTATCGTTTTCTCCAAAAATTCTTCTTTCTTTCCCAGCGGCTTATATTGCCAAAAAGGCAGCAAAAAGTCGTTCCCGTTTTCGGAAATTTCAAAAGCAAAGCTATGCCGAGGCGAGAGAGATTTTTGTTTCTTATAATTGTTTGCCTTTGTGGCCACATTCTGTTTAATTTCTGGGCTCCTGTGAGTTTGATCAACTTTTCACCAGGTATTTTTAAAGATGTTCATTTTCAAAAGTCAACTTCAGATCAAAGCGAATTTGATGTCTTCGATACGTGCCCGCTCAAAATCTATGATCCATATTATAAAGAGATGGGGCTGACTATTCGGTTGGTGAGAAAGTTTCCTTTTGGACAGGCTTGAAATCACAAAAAGTATAGGCCAAAGTTGTTTTCGCAATAAAACTTTTTTCTCTACGTACTAACCAAAGGTATCTTAAGTTTGGCCCATTTTTGAGCCTTTACAAAAATTATGGTTTTGCTCAGTTAAGAAGAGTTTATTTATAGTTTTGCTTATTGAATTCCATCGAAAACTTGCTGCCTTTCTTGCCTAATTCTTTTAGGGCCCGTTTCAGATTGCTGAATCCCCTCGAGGGCTGCAACAAAAACTACAAACCGTTTACGAAACTCGAGAAGGGAAAAGCTTTCATTCATCCAGAGAAACGGAAACAAGTCTCCTATTGTAGAGGAAGGTGAGTGATGGGAAACTCCATAGAGCTTTCCCCTTTAGGTGTTACACTTATGTGCACGCTACAAAGTCGACTCCGAAACCGTGGGTCAATATGACTGGAGACGAAAAGATCGCCGTTCCATGTGACTTCTTCAAAAGAAGGAGAAAGTGTCGACCAGTGGATGCATGTGCAAATAGTAGAAACGAATCACAGGCAACTCGGAATGAAGACTTCGATTTGATGACTGTTTTAGTACTGTGAGGGTTGAAGAGGTCGAATTTCCGGGAGCTCGACCCGATATTTTCATTTTTGTCTTCGATTCGGTCTCCTCTACTCAAGCTAGACGGTGAGCAAAACAAAATTTTCGAAACAGATTCAGTCAAATTCTTCAGTTAGATGCCCGGCCACATTTTCTCAGATCCTAAAGCTATCAGACAGTAAAAGATGTGCCCTGGTTTGACCCAGTAAGTCCTCAGCCCTGAGGAATGGCCTTTTTTTGGGCCAACTTGTTTTCAGTAATTTTTAAATACTTGCCTTGTTAGTCTCAAGTCTATTTCCAGAACGATCCCAAGAACTCTGAGCTTTCTCGAGACAAAAATGGGTGCCGTTCAGTTTTATCACTTGATCAAAGTCGGGGACAACTCCCCGCCGAATCCCTACGGTTTTCTGATGGGTGAGTTCATTTTTGAGAACACTTTCCGCTAACATAGGAGTTTTATATTGCGTTTGACTTCTTTTGACTTTTGATCAATCATTACAAGCGCTTTTTTGGTCTACGGGTCTTCTTTCGCTTCTGGACACCCTTCTAGCTTCAAATTGGAAAAGTTTCAAATGGATCGTTCTTTGTTTGTAGTTGTCAATTTAGGTTGGCGTACGTCAAGTAACGGGCTGGGGGGACAAATTTGAAGCCACAGTACCCAAAGGACGTTTGGTGCAATCAATATCACGATAATGATTCCGTCATTTATCGGGAATTCGAGAAAATTGGTCAGCAGTCGGTCGTAACCAACCTAGAGTCAGAAAAAAAGCATAAAAAGAAAAGTCCAAGATCGAAAAGAGTGACAACAAGTTTTGTAATACGTCCGACATTTTTGGAGTTACTGATTAATCAAGTTATTCACTGGTTGCTTGTTAGACTTCCAACACACAGCAAAGAGTTTTCAGGCTACAAAACCGCTTACAACGATGACTACAAGTATGGACCGGCGTTCACGTGGCCTAACTGCAAGAACTTCAAGAATCAGGAGGCGAATCATTTAATGCGGTGATTATTTGTCATTTTTCACTTTTGAAACAAGCCGCTTGACAGAACGCTGGCCACTGTTTATCAAGGAGACAAAGATTTGAGGAAGCACATGTCGAAGGGAAACTGCTGGGAAATGCAGAAACACGAGCTCCTCTACATGAAACAGTTCATTGATTCGTACAAGGGTGAGCCACTAAAAAGATCTATTCTACTGAACGTTGCTGATTAAATTTTATGTGAAAGACGGTTCTTTGACAAAAAGTAGCAGTCCTTTTCCAGGCAAACCAAAATTCGGTATCAACTGGAGCAACACTCTAACGCACGACGATGCAAATTTACTGTTCCATGCTGACGAAGATTTTCTTGTAAGCAATTTTGGCTTACATTGTTAAGATTGATCTACCTTTCAGACATTCTTTCAAGAAAACCAGAAAAAGCTCGAGAATTCTTTTATTATACTCGTTGGAGATCATGGAATGCGATTCGGATCGGTGAAAAAGACCTGAGATTGGAAATTTTAGATTGAAAATGGTTTTAGGTATCTCAGACAACGCTTGGAAAACGAGAGATCAAGAATCCGCTTCTGCAAATCACCGTGCCAAAGTTTTTGCGTGAAAACAAAGAGGCACGACTTGATACAAAATACCAAACAATAAAACTGTAAAACAATCAAGAATTTCACGACTAGTGAATCTGTCAAATTTCAGCTTATAATCTTTAAACTAGAACTTATAAGTTGGATTTTAACTTATGAAAAACATACCAAAAACTAGTTTTCTTTTCTTTAATTCCCCACTTAACTTTCCATTTTCTTTAAAGTTTCTTTAAAGTTTCATCGATAAAGTTTCAATAAAGTTCTTCAATAGAGTTTTTAGTTGATGAGAAATCTCTACGAAAACGCGCAGCGCCTTGTCACTCACTACGACATTTACGCGACTTTGAACGATATCTTGAAGGTTTGAGAAGCTTTTTTCAAATCTAACTAAAATTTCAGTTTGGTCTCCCATCAAATTTCACAGATTTCTCCGAGAAAGAAGTCCTCGAGAAAAACGAGAATAACGGGACCTCTCTGTTGAGGCCGTTCAGTGAGAGATATCAGAAAAGAACGTGTCGAAATATCCCAATCGACACTTCATATTGTCTCTGTGAATATGAAAAAAAGAGATTACGTGAGGGAATTGAATTTTCAAAGAAAACATCAAATTTCAGCGACAAAAAGCTGGGGAAAGCCGCTGGAGGTATAGCAACTTTTGAGTTAAATAAACTGATCTCGGATAAAGAAGCCGAGAATTTGTGTCACACGTTGACACTGGATACGGTAAGTGGCCCACCATTTCGTGAAAAGAAACTTTTAGATCAAATTGCTTGCTTTTGTGCCGTTTGAGAAAACGAGAACTTTCGAAGCGGTTTTCAAAATGAAACCGAGCAACGGGGAGTTCAACACGGCGAGTTTGAGTTTTTGAGCCAAATTTTGAAGCAAAAAGTTCATCTTTTGAAGCAAGATTTCTAGATTCTGAAGCTCGACAACTCAAATTCTCTGCAAAGAGCCGGTGAAATTCTCCGAATAAATCGATACGGAAATCAGAGCGTCTGCCTGAATGCACTGCCCGCAAAATACAATGACATAATGCAGTATTGCTTTTGTAAATAGTTTCAGTGACTGGCTATGGCTTTGCTCAAAAAGCACTTTCTTTCAATGGCACTTACTGTGTATTTTTTGAATTTGCATAATTTGACTAAAATGTTTTGTTTTGATTGCCTTGTTTTGGTTTTGTGTATATGCTAAAGACCATTTTGGCTCATAAATTTATGATTTAACAGCAGTGGTTAACTGAAATTTTTTATGGAGAAAGTTTTTTGACAACGGCTCGCGTCGCGCCGCGGCTTGGGGGTTCTTTCTTCCCGCCCCCCCGCCGGCGGCGGGTTGCGGCTGGTCGTTCGCCTCGTCGTCCCGCGCGGGGCCGTCCCAGTGTCCCACCGGTGCGGCCTTCCCTTCGGGCTTGTGGGTGGCCGCGGCGCTGCGGTGTTTGGTGTCCACCCAGTGTTCTTGGTTCCGTGCCGTCTTGCGGGTGCCCTTGTGGGCTGGGCGCGACTCTTTGTCGGCGCCTGTTTTGGTACGCGGCTCGGCATGTAGGCCCGGAGGGGGAGCGGCTTGGCTCCGGGCTTGTGGACCCCTGGTTGGTTTTTGTTGTTTGTTTTGGCTTTTACCAGAGCTCCTGTGTGGTCCTTGACCTGTTTGGCGCTGGTTGTGCGGGTGTTTGGGCGCCTCCGGCCCTTCCAGCTCTCGTGTCTTCCTGGGGCTTTCTTTAATGTTATGGTTCGCAAGCTACCGGCAGTTTCCTAACTGCGGGTGTATTTGCGCCACCCTGGTTAAATTAAGTAGTTTATTTAAATTAAATAGGGCGTCGAGATCTAGAAAACTTGATCATTTAGCAATTCTTAGTTTTCAGTGTCCAGATCGTCGAATCGATCCATTGGACTGGACGACAGAAATGACTACGGTCACCTTTGTCGAATTCTCAATAGCGAACTTCAGTCTGAAATCAAAATCTGAAACCATAATCAAGTTGAACAAACCCCAATACTTTTCCCGACAAAAATTTTGCATGAACTCGATATGGTTCTGTTAGGGCGCAAATCAGAATCGCTCCAAACATCCCATGACAAGCTAGCAAAACGAGGCCGGCGTTGTTGATCGACTGATCGACAATTATATTGAACACTATGAGAAATAGATAGAACACGAAAGGAAAAGCAACAGAAATAAACGGAATTAAAATCTAAATGTTTTTTTTTTATTTAAGAGCAACTTCGACTATCAAACCTGAACAAAGAGCACTATGCAGAGTTTTTTGTGCATTGCCTGCGTTTTCAGGCTCATATGAATAGCTGGACGATTCAAAAGATAAGATACATGGCCAACAAGGGCTGCTAACTAAATTGAAGTGTCAATGTATTCCTTTCGTCCTCACCGTTATCACAATTCCGATTGTTATGCACAAAATTAAGATCTCCGTATATCCAACGGCGGTGATTTGAAGAGACTGTGGAAACGCCAGAGTTGTTATATCAACAACCCACATGTCTGGATCTGTTGAGACAAAAGCGAATTGTGGATAGGTCTAAAGGGTATCATGGTGTAGGGTTTGCCTTTTATATTTCTCCTATTCACTAATTTCGGTTCGGATTTGCTTCAAAGCGGGCTCAAACTTACCTAAAAATGAGCTAAATGAAATATTTAAATAGTGAAAAACTCTGCAAGCGCTCTTTGTTCAGGTTTTATTTAAAGTAAACCACACGTTAATCGGCTAATTATTCTTTTATTCATGCAAATTTCAAAAAGGCGCATAAGACTTTCAGGCCAAACCAATAATTTCAGCTTTACAAACCCATTATACAACGGAGAATGGTCTGGGGGAAGATGATAAAAACTACGACCAATAAATGCAATGATAAATTGGAACTAGCCTCCAAGAGTGCCGCCAACCCCGTCGCCTCGGGAACACGCTGTATGGTGATCTGCCCGATGCCGGAACAAAGTGAAGAAAGCCAGGCAGTGAGCAAACTCAAAAAAATTAGAAGCCAGCTTCTAGGGCTGAATCTGAAATCTGAAATTGAATAGGCAACATAAAAAAAGCAACTTATCCAAATAAAAGTCAAATAGATCTTCTGTGTTGGTTATTAAATTTAGCTCTTGGGGATCTCCGACGAAACTTTTTCACTTCACTCACCGAAACCAGTGTTCATCCGTCAATAACAAGCGGTGACGATAGATAAAGCACGAAGCTGAACTCATAACCATCATTACAATGAGATAAGCGGCAATCTCCTAGAAGTTCTTATTTGAACTGAATTTTGCAATAAAACTACAAAATGAAGCACTGCACTGAGATGAAACCACGTGTAAAGGATTCCATGCACTTTGCCAAAGAGGGCTGGGAAGAAGAGCTCGGCGCCGATTATGTGCAAGAAAAACTCAAGCAGCGTGGATTGTAACTTAAATTGAGAAACAATAACCACTGTAATTAGCAACCCGTCTTCAAGTCAATTTTACCCTTGGCTGCAAGTTGTTAACTCGATTTAACTTGATGTTAGCGACTAGAAGGACAATAGAGGGTGTTCAGTATTTACGGCGACTTCTTTTTGGTAGATCAGCTCCCAGGCGCAAAGTTCAACCGTAATGTGTTAAATGTTATATAAAATATTGAAGCCCTTAACCTTGGCTACATTTATCTATTAAAACTTTCTCGATTGGAGATATAAAACGCATTTTGCAAGCCCTGAATAAGTACGAGCTGATGCCTGCCCGGCACGCCTTCATTTTTGGCGATTCTTTTCCTAAAAAGAGTTCAATCAGAGCGCTTCTTTTGACCAAATTTGTGGCGTTTTGTCTAAAAATTATTTCCAATAAATTTATAGCACCAGGTCAGTTAATATAACAAGAAGTACATATGAACTGAACATCGAAAAATACTCAATTTTCACTTTCTTCCTTGCACCACCAAAGGGACTTGACTTCCTCAAACTTGAGTAAGACGGTTCAATCAAAAACAGTTTTAAATGTTATTAAATGGTGTTAAATAAAATTTTAACATAAAATAAATATCGAAAAACTTTTTCTGATAATTTATTATAATGAAAATCGCCAAAAATGACAGCGTGCCGGAGAGGGAACAACTAGTACTCATTCAAAGGCTTGTAAAATGTTTTATATCTCCAGTCGAGAAAGTTTTAATAGATAGATGTAGCCAAGATTAAGGGCTTCAATATTTTATATAACATTTAACACATTACGGTTGAAATTAGCGCTTGGGAGCCGATCTACCAAAGTCGCCGTAAATACTGGACACCCTATAGAAACATTTCTTGTTGGTGTTCAACACTACAAGATATTTGATAGACGGACCAGCAGGCATAGTCAAATACAATGGAACATGTTTTCCATAGTTAGTGCTAACATATTATATGTTATAGTTATCAATAAATTCAAAGCTCGTTAATTTCATTAAAGAGTAATTTCAGCCTAAGTGCTCTTTTCACTCACTTGATAAAACAAAATAAACCATCGGTAGGTTTTCATGGTGATTGGTGAGATCCAGATGATCAAATAAATGGTGTACAAGTTGATGATTCCACTAATGATGCCAGTAAGAGTTAAGGAAATCAGATAAAATGTCGGTTGTTCGTAAACAACTTGAGTCATAGAAACAATTCTTGTTTGGAAAAGGAGCGAGTGATGAAAAAGGGTATTATATAAAAGTTGACTGAGCAGGTGCAATTACTAATAAGTTAGGTTAGAGAAAAGAAAAGCTCCATTATTCACATTAGCAATAAAGTTAGCAATTGCAATTTTGAGAAAAGCATCCTTTTGTAGAGCGCAACACTATACGGGATGCACCAAAGGTTCTGTCACCTCCCTAAAGTTGACCAAAGCTGAAGTCAGAAAATTTCTATGACCTTGAAGGGAAGATCTGTTAATCTTGTCTCGTTTTTGATCCTTCAGAAATAGGTTCTTGACGTAAGAAAGTCTGTAGAATCAAACGAACTAGACATGATTATTCTCTAAAGACAGCTCTGGTTTGAACCCGGTCTAGCAAAGTCCTCAATAAGCGGTTTCTGTCTAAGTAAACGGAAGTCCACTGTCTCAGCATGACATTTGTATTTCCCTTTACGATTTCCTACTTAACTTTATGTTCTGAGCATCTAATTCTTTTATGTTTCCGTTTTTGGATAGATACTAAATAATGATAGAAGAAGCTTTATTTTTCTCCCTCCGATATAAACATACATGGTGCGCCATATTGTCGCAACAAGGTATCACAATAACTCGTTGATTTAAGCTTCATTTCTGTTTTTTTCTTTTTATTGTATTTGGAATATAATTAAAACTTTTTACGTATAAATTTGTTGTTTTTTAGAATGGCTGGAAAATCCCCATGGACAATCGATCATCGAATTGCAAAAGCCAGGAGTCTCAGCGCCGGGGATTCATAAGCGTCTGAAAGTCGACAGAAGTACCATTTTCCGTACTATCCAACGCTACGAAGATACGGGAACAATTGCTGATGCACCAAGAAGCGGTAGACGCTCAACGGTCGTCACAAAGACAAACATCAAGCGAGTGAGGGACCGAATTCGGAAGACGCTTTCCCGCAACGCCTGCGAGCCTGCTCAAATGCTAATGTGTCCGATTCCGATTTGATAGTTCATTTATAAGTGTTAATGTATAATAAATGTTATTCAGTTAAAAATTTGTCTTTTTGGCTCTTTTCTGCCTTGAAATCAGAACTTTATCTTATTGAGACAATTATGGCGCACCCTGTAGACTCAAGCTTTTCACTCTTGAAACTCTACACCAACCCCGCTTTATTATAGATTTGATTGAAGGCTTTAAAATTGTTAATGGGATCCACCTTAGTCCTCTTTTTCGAAACTTTCTTCCGTTAAAGCCAAAGCAGTCAGCTTCCAAAAGACGCACGCTTCTTTTGAAATGTAATCCTATTTCATCTAAGAGTGATGAAGTTCTTTACAAATTGAGTAGTTACGCTGTGGATTTCTCTCCCGAATGAAATTTGCAATTTTTCATCTCTAAGCTCATTCAAACCCTCCATTTCTCTGGTCCAATTCACTAGATCCGTAAATGGCATTATGTTTTTTCTTTTCTTTCGATTAATTGCAAACTGTGTAATTTAAATTTTTGTGTGCTTTATTATTGAAATAAAGTATGTATTCTTTATTTCCCAAAAATACGTAAATGATAAGCCAAATGTCGTTCATCAACATCCATACCCATGACACGGCGCCGAACAGTCAGCCCTGCACACTTGGACGCCGTAGTGCTGGGTGCACACAGAGGCACAGCGATCAGTGGGGCATGGATTCGGCACACATGGGTTGGCATCCTGAAAAAAATGATTAACTTAATTTCTCTTGAATTCAGTAACAAGTTGTATACTTATGATATTGTTATAGATCCCAAAAAAACTAAATGGAACAAACTGTTATGATGAATGTATTTGCATTCTATGGCATCAGAATAGAAAATCGGTATTTTCTATGAGACAATTTACCTAACTGATGGTTTTTCATTTGCCGTTTAAAGTCTTATTGTTCATATGCAAACTACCTCTTTAGTTGAATTGCCTATTTATCATTGAATAATACAAATTTCATCGCAAGTCTATGCATTTCTCCGACGAATTTCTATCTATTGGGTTGATGGCTATGGCTTGGCACGACACTGATTTCCGATTTTCGAAAAAGTTAAACGAGAAGTTTTTCTGAAATTTTTTACTCATAACAAGTAAAAAGTTGCCTTTTTTGTGCCAAATTTTATCCCGATATGATGCTCAGTTTTTGAGAGGCAACAGTTTGAACAAAAATAGTCAATTTTTCGGTCAGCTCTCAAATCAGTGATGCCCAACAGAAAGGAGCTATAAGTATACTAATATAAGTTGTTTTTGGAATCAGTGCGTTATAGCAAATTTGGAAGTGTTCAAATTTAACACAGAATTCTGACTTTTACACACACTCGTCACGCTTTTTCTCAAAAACTGAGCATCAGATCGGAAGGAAACTTTGGCACAAAAAGATAACTCTTTACTTGTTATGAGCAAAAAATTCTAGGAAAAATTATGGTTTAAATTTTTAGAAAATCGGAAATCAGTGACGTGCTAAGTCATACCCACCAACCCAATAACAAGTACTACATGTAACTTCTAAAAATAAGTAATAAGTATTTCTGTTGATCATGCCAATATTAACTAAACAACTAACGGGAGACGCGCCACCGAGAAGAGCATCCATGGGAGCGGCTGTCGAAGTCGAGACGAGGATCGACGAGGCGACGACGAGAATCAACAATTTGAGCATTTTGTGGGATTTTGAGGTTATGCTTTTTGAAATGAAATTACTAGAAATATATAGGGATCTTTCATCGTCACAGACTCTAATTCTCAAGAGATAAGAAGCGAAAAAAACGCGAACGCATAGCCATATCAGGGACTAGACTCTGTTTATTAGAGGAAATTCCCGAGTGATGCATTTTCGGCTCAGGAATTTCAGCGACTGTCACAAACTTGAAATTATGAGCACGATTTATCACAATTTTTCATTGTCACAGAATATATTATAGGTATTCTATTAGATTGGTGCATAAGTCTTTACAATTTTTTTTCCAAACATCTTTTAAAAATAATCCAACAGTCGAGCCCGGCGGGCAACAACCGTTGGAGGATCAAAAACGGGACATGGTGAACAGATCTTCCCTTCAAGGTCATAGACATTTTCTGACTTCAGATTTGGAATCTCCACCCTCGAAAACCCGTGTATGCAGGTTTCCAGCCCAAAAACCCATTCCCATTAAAAGACGACGGAGTGAGGCTAAATGGACTGAGGCTTGCGGCCAAATGATGATCGCAAATCCGCCAAAAAGTTTCTGAATGTAAATTATAGTTTTAACAAACAAAAACAACGGCATTTATCAGATCAATCAAAGACTTTTGTTACTACAAAAGTTGTCTTTACACCGTTCGTTTTCAAAATTTAACATTTACAACTTTCAGAGCACAAGTTGCAAAATTTACTACAGCATTTTTATATTCGATCAAAGCTCATAACAAAGTGATGTTCGATGTAATCCGTCTTGGTCAGATTCGGGATGAGCTCTCACTCCAGCATCTTTTCCCTTCGAATTTCCCCAACTTTTCGAAATTCTTTTCATTTCATGTGTAGATATGAATGTTTGTTGAGTAGTGCTTCTTCTTTTTGCTTTGCTTTTCCCTCTACCCAAATGTTTGTATTGGGGAGTCGATCCGAATCTCACCCCTCTTTTCCTATGAAACTCATCCCCAAAGCCCTGAACTCTTTTCTACTCAAAAAGATCTTACTTGTTATTATCATAGTTATTTTTAACCAACTTTTGGTTTTGTTTCTGATCTTGAGCTTGCTTCAGACAAAGTACCAAGTACATCCACCCTTCTGGTTGTTTCAAATCATTTTCACAGGTCCAGATCAGAAGTCAGTTGGCTTTACTAAATGATTTTCCTGAAACACTTGACCTAGGCGCAACACGCACGGTAGATTTGTATGTGTTTTAGAATTTGGATCATTTACATTTCTAAAGCTTATATGGTACAAAAATCCTCTTAAAAACCCAATTGTCATCCAAAATTTAGGCCTCCTTTTTCCCGTCCAGACATCGGTCTCGTGGTGTAGTGGTTATCACATCTGTCTAACACACAGAAGGTCGGCGGTTCGATCCCGCCCGAGATCATTTTCGGTTTTGATTTTTTGAAGTTTGAAATTTTTACACAATCTCATATATCTAGGGAAAAATATCGATAGATTTTAAATATTTAAACGAAAACAACTGTCAACTCTTTTCGAGAAAATCATCCTTTTGTAGAGCGCAACACTAAACAGGACGCTTCAAAAGTTCTGTCACCTTCCTAAAGTTGACCAAAGCTCAAAAACTGAATTTTGTTTCAGCTTTCAGCTCAATGAAAAATGACATAGAAATAGTAGAGCTTTTAAACTATCTAGTAGCGAGGTTCAATGGCATAGGTTGCTTCTGCAAAAAATTATGAGGGCTAGAAAATTTAGGACCTATTGGTATTCTGAATTTTCAGAAGTTTACTTTACCAAAAATGGATATTAAACTAATATTTTTTTGATGCTAACCCCCTAGAAAACTCATATTAAATAGGAATTTATTTGCTGTCCAGCTTATTTAAAAAAATGAAGATCATAGATAGTCCCAAAAAATTTCTACTTCAAATACCAGCAAATCGTCAGCGTGGACCCATAAACCCAGTAAGTGAGGTGACAGCACTTTTGGCGCGCCTTGTATATCGTATTCTCAGATTTCTATGCTCCTGATGTGCCTCTCTAGAGCTCCTACATATTGACCCTTTTATCTTCTAGATATCACAGCACCGGCTGCTGATGGTAAACGTGGCTTGTGGCCCAAAGTGACTTTTGTAAAAGTCTTGATACCCCAAAAAAACGTATTATTTGATGATGTTTTGTTTATCTAGTGGACTTAGGATCGGTTTGGCTTCCGTTTCGGTTTCCATGTCTACTATTTAATATCTTCTAAAGGAGCTCACCAAGAATCTTACAAACCAGATTTTGTGGGCAAAGCCTTGGCCTTATTCTGCCCTAATGCTTTGCTTGAATATCAGCTAAATATTTCTAAGACACTTTAAAATCTAATCCAGAAAATCCAGAATGCTGTATTTATCAAAGGAGCCAATAGCTCAAAGTGCCCCTGGTTTTGCAATTGCAAGACTTTCAAAAACCCGAAGATTTCAATGGGATTTCCCCTCAATTCTCTGTTAACCGGGATTTTCGATAGAAAAGAGGAAATGGGCAAAGAGAAAGAAAAAAAAGACAATGAAAGGATCGTCTCCATCTCAAATTTCCCTTTTCTTTTACCCAAAAATCCCAAATAACAGAAGGGCCAAAGGGGAAAAGAAAATAAAAAAAGCAAAACCATTCTCATCGATTCTTTTTGCTTTTTCTTTTGGCTCTTTTTTTCCTTTGCGGTTAAAAGATGTGCTACATGAGATCCATGAGAATTACAGACAAAACGACAAGCAAAATTGCACATCGCAAAGAAAAAGCTTCATCCACAATTGCTTAATTTTTAAGTCTAAATACCCAGCGAGTACCCCCTGGTGTACTTTCTACTGAAAATCTGTAATCCTAGCACATCGGTTCTTCAAATTGATGACTGTTCTTTTGGTGTACTTTGGGCTGCAACTTCGCAAACGTATCCCTTCTGGCGCACTAAATGCTTCATACCTTCAATTTTTTTCAAATTGAATTCGTTGAACGAGTGTTCCCTTTTTCGTGATATTCAAATGAAAGTGATTCATTGTTTTCACAAAAAGACCAAAAAAAGTCCATCATCGAATAGTTAGTCTGTTTCTCATTCTCTGTAGATCATCTAGTTTTTAAAATTTCCTTTTTCATAATGTTCAAATGAAGAATGATTCGTTTTCCTAATAAAAAATGGCTAATAAAAATTTAATTTTGGCTCTTTGCGAAGGGATCAAAATGTTCTTTAGTTTTCTATTTTTTTGTGATTCACTTTGAGTACTTATTATCTTATATGCAAATTCAAAAAAAAACTCCTTGTCCAAATACTTTGGTTTCTTCGAATACGTTTTATTCAATTTCAATATTCAACACATTGAATCCATTTTCAAACTGGCCGACTAAACGCAATCTTTCTGGTGCACTGAATTCCTCATTCTCTTAGAACGTCAAACCGTTGCCGCAAGAAAACTGAAGAGTTCAGTGCACCAGAAAAGGTGCGTTTACAGATTTACACTGAAAGAACAAGTCTATGATCCATTTTTCTCCATTCATTGAGTACTTTTCTTTGGATATTTTTTCCAAAACAAGATTGTTTATAATTTCTCTTTTCAGCTCTCTGCTCCCCTTCCCCTTTTTTTCTCAATCCTGGAGTCGTCTCATTCTGCTCCCCTTTTTCGTTCGTCGACTTCTTTCGATCGAGCCTCGCGAATCAGCGATGATCGCTTCTCGCAAATCGCCCCGAAACCGTAAGTTTTAAGGTTTATATTTGACATTTACCGTAAACATTCTAATAGAAGAGTCGGCTCTTCTAATTTTCAATTTTTTTTCAATTTCTCTTTAAGATTTTTTTGTGCTCTAGCTACAGTAACGGAAATTTACAAAGCTCAAAAATAGGTACTTTTCAAGGGATTTTCATCTGATTTTCGGCGTCATTAAGCTTTTTTAGTCTATAACTATAACTATTATTTAAAGTTTTTGGAAGCCTTTAAAAAGTTGAGCATTTTGCTATCCGAGAGTTGACAAATCCGAAAAAATGAAAGTTTTGTCTAGAGGGGCTCTTCAATTGAAATAAATATGGTAGATGCTTTGGTTTGTAGGCTTATCGGCAAGGTCTTACAAACCCAAGTTTCCAACATCTAATTTCTGCCATTTTTACATCAAAATGTAGCCTGTAATGTCTACTTTCTAATAGTAAATTCAGAAAGAAAAAAAATCCTTACTTTTAACAACGAGACCTTGAGAATTCGAAAGACAAATCTATTATTTACTTACAAAAACAGATTGAATGAGATAAATTCACTCAATTTTCTATTTCTTTCATTTGGTAAAGTTTCATATTTACCGAGCAGACATAGTTGCTATTCTTAAAAAAAGCTATTATTCAACATCAGCTACATAAAACCAAATCTTATTATACAACCAACTTTTTGACTACATATCCTGAAAATGTTGTTTCACTTACGAGTTTCAGATAGGTGTGCTCTTTGCTCAATTTACAAGTTTACTACAGGTTCTAAGAATCCACTGATGCGGTTCAAAAGTAATTTTTTTTAAAATATTCAATCAATTCCCGCAGCTCACTTTTTGACCACAGTTTCTCAAGTTTTTCCAATCTTTCGATGGGACTCTTCTCAACGCCGAAAAAATCGAAATGACGTCCATAGTCTGGTAATAAAAAGGAAGAAGGCTTTACAGAAGTTTCCAATATTTTCCTAGTTCTAGGGGATCTCTGGGGATAGAGAAGAGATGGGTTGTACAGGAAGGGGGGCAAGGTGGACCGTTCTCGAGTGCCTCCCAGCCTCAGCCCTCCCCTCTGCCCCCCCCCTCTATCCACTCATCACTTCTCAAGCTTCTTCTCTTTTTCTTATTCTTCTTTTCCCTTTTCAACTTGCTTGATCGTCTTCTTTTCTTTTTTCATCTTCTTTCTATTCTGATTGGTCCTTCTTCTCACAGATAACTCTTTAGGAAAGCTACGAGTTTTTCAGACCCCAATCCCACGCACTTCTCTTTTTTTGCTAAACTTTCAAACAATCGATATCTGATTTGGTTATCGGACATTTGATATGCCCCTTTTGTTATTGGCAATCTAGCTTTGAACTCAGATATCTTGATGTTGGGCTGTCCAATTTAAATATTTTGGTATCACTAGCTGCGCCAAGTCTTTCTCTCTCAATTGGTACAACTCAATTTGCTATTTAAAAAACGAAAATTGAGTAGACCAAGGACGTTCACAAATTTCGACTTCTGGAGCCAAAAGTTTGCTACTTTCGCTCAGCACAAAGAAATGCCTCAAACAATCAATACAGCCTCGTTTTTTAGCAATGACATTTCTTCTGATGTTTAGATATTTATATGATGTTTGATGTTTAGATATTCTTGTATCTCAGTAATCTAGATCCAATTTTTTGCTCGAAAACATTTGGACCTAGAAACATATGCTCAGCCGAAATCTGTCTCAATCAGAAGAAAAAGTGGCATCGATCTTTAAGCAGAGAATTGAAAAATACGTATTGTCTCACTTGCTTATATATCTAGTTATATTTATCTACATATCAGAAAATCTCTGGATATATCAAGCTACATAGTTTTTGAAGAATTCGATAAAAAGCGGATCAATGGCTTCTGGGATCAATAAATTGGGGTTATATAGAAAGTTTATCTAAATATGTTTATTTAGAGATAATTATATACTTACCTATTATCCATTTCATGTATCTTTTTCCGGTTTTTCCAAACTTTTCCTCATTTTTTCCTTTCTTTTTTCTAGAGTTCAACCTCCTCCCCTTCCCCCTTCCTTTCCCCCTTTCCCCCCTCAAATCCGTCTCATTTTACCGCTCGTGTTTTTCTTTTCAAAACTTAAACTTTTACATACATTCTACACGTAGATTTCTAAAAACATACTTAATATTAAAACTCTAATGTGGTCTTGTGTTCTTGCTTTAAAATGCCGCTTACAAGTCCAATTACCTGTTTTGTCGTATGCAAATTTCTTCTAGGTAAGGCTTTTGCAAATTTACAAATGCTACTGCAGCTACTCGTTCTCTAAATCTCTATGGTTCACTTTGTGCTCACACCGGTAAACACACCCTTTCTGGTGTACTCAAGTCCTCGTTTTTCTTGCAGCAACGATTTAGTATCACAAGGAAAATGAGGAATTAAGCGCTCGAGAAAGATTGCTTTTGCTGGGACCCAAAGTACACAATAACTAGTTTCGTGCACTTTGAGCTTTTGTGAAAACGTACCCTTTCTGGTGCACTGAATGCTTGATTTTCCCCACAGCGACGAAATCGCAAGAAAAATCAAAAATGACTGTGCCAGATCAGGTGCATTTACAAACACAAAATCCAACAGAAAACGAATCTTCGTACTTCTGAAGTTCTAAATTTCCACTATTATAGTTTATTTTTTGGCCAAGGTATCTATAAATTTCTAAATTCCCCACAAAAACCGCTCAAAAACCGCTCAAAAATAGCCCTTCTCCTCCACTTTTCAATCGTCATGTCAATAATCCATTGTGTAAAGAGAAGTCATCAATTTGTCTCCAATTTTCCAAAAACTTCTCCAAATTTCTCAATCATTTCTATTTTGATCAAAGCAATCCTATATTTTCATAAATTTTTCAAAGAACACTACATTTAATCGGTTATTGTATTCAAAATCTTCAAATTCGAGTCGGCTTCAAAATGCATGCAGAGAAGTAAATTTCAAATCTTTTTAAAACAACGCAGCCTTTGTCTTAAAATATATTAGAATTTGTATTTAAACTTGGAGCCAAGTCAAAGCCATTGATCCCATTGATCCTGTTGTATACGTATGGGTTTCCTTTGATATCCTTGATGTTGATGATACAATTTGAGTAGTTGACAAAGTTAACTTAACAATTTATTTAAACAAACGAAATATTGGGCAATCCTTTTCAAAACAAAAGTTCGACAGCAAATTTGACCAAAGAGAAACAATGCTGTGGAATGGCGGACAAATAGGGGTACGGTAGGAGGTCCGCGCTTTAGAATACACTTCAATTAACCAATAAATAATCCGTGGGGAATGATTTAAAACAACTATTATATTCCCCACAGATTCCGTTGGCAGTGGTCTTTTGCCAAGTGAATAAAAAGTCAGCCAAGACAAAACTGGTATTTGTGTCAAAACCATATCTTTCACATACTCTTTTCTGAGCGCTTTAAGAATTTCTGACACCTTATCATTGTTACTTTATCAGAACCTTATACTTACCGTAAATACTCTAATAAAACGCCACCTTCTTGTAGTCTAACTTCTTTTTCGAAAATAACTTTTTTCAACCCCTACATTTTTCCCAACCAAACTTTTGGTACCAAAAATACTAGATCATTTGACACCCAAGTGCACACTGTAGCATAAAGCAGCGCAGAGAACGGGACGTTAAAAGTTAGACTACGCGATTGTACGCCCGTCATTATGGGGAAGGCGTTCTATTAGAGTATTTAGGGTAGAAAGTTCGACATTTTTCAAGTTTTTGAATCATTGTTCTCCTATTTTGACTTGCCTTCGGTTATCATTCATTTTTTTTGGAACAACCCCATCCTCTTTAGCATTTTTGATCCCTTCTACTTTGAATCCAATAGCTTTTAGGAAATCTATCATTTTTCATTTTTATTTACAATGCACAATTTTCAATTTCCCTACGAAACAAAAACTTTTGTAGACTTCTCAAGCAAATATTCGCTTTTCTATTATCCAGGAGACCAATCTTATATTTGATTGAACACTAGAATGAACTCGAGAGAATCTCAAGCTCAACAAATGTTATGTAAGTGAAATTGTAAATTCTTGCAGAGTAATGTCGAAACCGATAGCCATTCATCGATCCGCTTCACACACTCCGTCGATGCTGGTGAATGCGAAGAAATATCTCTCCGATCGGCCACAATTGCTCGATTGTCCACGGTGCAAGGTTTGTTGGCGAGTTTTCGATTGAATTTTACGCCAGGGTTTTTCGAGCCTATAAAACTAGCCTACAGTAGTCTATGAAGTAGCACTCCTTAATTACAGTAATCCGTTACAGTATCCCGCTACAGATTCCCCTTCTATATTTCAATAAATAAAGAAAATTAACCAAGGAAAAGATAATCGAAAATAAGAATTGGGGTTTTCTTCGCTTACCATTTTACTTACTCAAATTCTGGCTGAGAAAAAGCCCGTACAGACGGACACCTGCTTTTATATATAGTAGACTATTGATGAGAATCTTCTAGAAACTGACAGTACTACAACAATTATATATCCTTGTAGAAGTTTACCTTCACGGACTAACAATAAGAATGAAAAGCAATCGAGCTTCCATAATCACTTGGTCATTATTTGATGTTGAAAGCGGTCGAGAGAATCGAGGAATGGGAATCGCTCTATTGGGTTGTCCTCTCGAGGAATCTCTCAACCATTCACACACAAACATTTTACCGCTTTTCTCCCTCGATTCCCCGCCATCCCAATCTCAAGAATTGCTCATCCACATACAAATATTGGAGAGATCTCGCTAGAACATTGGATTCATCGATTTTTATTAGCCTTCGCACATTTACGCACAAATTCCAATTAGAGTAACCCAGAGCTTTACAGAAAAACAATGATACAGAAATGGTGAATTTAGCTACTGTGGTTGAACAGGATGTAGAATTTGAGGAACAAATACAGCCAATTTAGGGCAAATTGGGTGCTGTTATTAGTTCAACGGTAACGGGATCCAGAATTTGTAACGAAAATTCAGCCAAAAATAAGCCAAAAATGTTCCCAGAAGTTTGGACATAGTAACGCCGAAAAAGAGAAAGTTATGAACTTTAAAAGTGTCACGACTCAAAAGTCCTTATTAGTGGACCAGATCCAGAAACTTCAAATGATAATATTTAATAGTTTCCATCTTTTCTCAAGGCAAAAACATAGTATAGATTGTTGTTTTTTCATGTACATATGTTCATGATTTCACTGATTCATTTCAGCATCACGGTGAGACAGAGATCCGTTTCGTCGTCGGCTTCTTCACATATGTCTCCTTTTTGGTGATTCTCATTTGTGGAGTCTTCGTTTTGCCGCTTTTCTTCGTTTGGGTCCCATTCGTTTTAGATGCTTTCAAGGTGGGTTTAGAATTGTGAAATTATAGAAAAAGAAATGATCCAATTGAAAGGATAATATTTACAAAACGTGAGCAATTGAGTAAATAGCTGATTTCAATCTGTCTTTGAGTCGTATTGTATCGAAAATTCGAACATCTCAAGTGCTAGAGTAAACCTGAAAACAAAACCATGACTAATTCTAAATAAAAGAAGGTTTCTTGTGACTCTTACACCACCCACTTTGCCCAGTATAATTTTGTGTTTAAAAAAGGCAATTCGATTTAAGTTCGACACGCCGATCTTTTTATGAGTTGGGGCTGGGCATACAAAATCGGCTGGGATGGGAATCGGCGCCGGGATCGGAACCCGCGACCTCTCGCTTAGCACGCCGATCCTTGTATGGGTTGGGGCTGGGAATATAAAATCGGCGCCGGGAATCGAGTGAGCTGGAAATCGGCGCCCGAATCCGAACCCGCGTCCTCTCGCTCTACCAATGAGCTACACCGACACGTATCCCATTGCCGCTAGGGTAGGGCGTTATGCCTTACTTTCGTTTTATGACCTTATCGCAAAAAATTAATAGAAAATAAGTCTGACTGGTAAGGATGTAGTGGTGTGATAATATTAGTATGCAAAATGCGTTATAAGATTCAAAAAGGGCGAAAGAGTCACAAGTATCAAAATAAGCTTGTGAATCAAAATTTAGGAATGCCAAATTGAGGGGTAGTCCGAAAAAACCCGTTAAGTACCTTTGACTTACTTAGATCTTACATAATCCCAACGCGTACTTTGTGCTTTTCTGGCATATTGCTCCTTTTTCTTTAAAAATGATAGTTCCCGCAAGCTGAACTTTGATGCATGCATTACGAGAAAGAGATATAGATTTATAGTACAAGGATGTATACTGATGGGGTCTTATACCTATTTATTTCCCATTTCTTCTTGGGCAATGAAGGCGCCAATAGCTCAGCGATAGAGCCGGTAAGCAGAAGGTCGACGGTTGAATTTCCCCTTCCCTACAGGGTATACGGTAATTGCATCATCTACCTTAAAATAATCTTTTGGGTATCGTTTAGCAAAGGTTTAATGGGTTATCCTTCCAAGTTTCTGACTAAAACTAGGAGACTACGGTAGCTAAAAGTTAGCACGTTTTAGGAAACGTATTAGGGGAACAAGTTCAAGCCTTTTAGATTTTAATTCAAATCCACCAATTTTCAGGACGTCGAACACCATTGTCCTCAATGCAAAGCGTGGATCGGCACATATCGTCGATTGGGAAAAAGCACATAAAAATCTAAATTCTATAGCTTTTTCAAATTGAAATTCAATTCGAGAAAATCCAATCTTTAACCTCATTTCTTATCCTTTACAACTTCCCCCAAATTGATCACCAACGCTATTTCACTTCCATTTTTTTTTCGGTTTTATTTTTGTGTGCTATTTTTGAGAAAAACTAGAGCTTTTTTAAAAATGTGAACAATCTTTTTCAAAAGTTTTGATAAAGGGTTTCAGTGGGTGCCTTGGGAAAAGTTACAGTATGACACCTAGTGCAGCACACAGCAAAATCGATCTCTACCTTGATCATAAATTGAAAAATTCTTTTTTAGAGAAATTTCGAACTTTTTGTGCTATCAGAAAGAAAGAAAAGGGTCTTTTCATTCTTTTATGCTTTTCAAAACTCTTGCAATTAATGCAGAGCTTCTTGATGTTCAAACCGAATGAATTTTTGTGTAGTTGAACATCCAATAAACTATGTTGCTAAAAATGTGACACCCAGAGATTCAATTTCAGTCACCGGCTCGACCAGCGTTCATTGGTCGGCGAAACGAGATCAACGCCAAGATTCCGTATAAAATGAGTGTGTCCAGAATTTAGACATCCTCATCTCATTCAGATACACCACAAAGAGTTTGGTATTGCATAAACCTTGTTCAATTGGAAAATGAAGTGAAAAAAGGCGGCTGTCAAAAAAGGAGGAGCTTTTAAAACATTCCTTGTCGTGTTTCGTTTGGTATATAGTTGTTTAAGATAGAAATCCTAAGTAAAAGAAAGAGATACAGATGTTAACAAAAAGGTACGACTGCCCCCTAATCTTTGAGAACGTTTAGCTGACTCAAAGACACTATGTCTTTTGGCTTGTGATCGAGTGTGACACGCTGGTTTAAGCGCTTTTGGCAAAAGCCCAACTGATCGATGAGCTAACAACAGAAAAATATCTCTACACACGTTGGGTTGCACAAAGATTTAAGAGAGCTCAGCTAAGCCCAAAAAAAACCTAGGCTAAAAACATTTTTCTTGATCGGCGGGTAAACCTAACCTAAGTTTACGCTACCTAGGGTAATTTTAAAATGCTTATAAAAATTTTAAAGCGAAACGAATCAACAAATGGTCTTTGCTACTGTGTTCCCTTTGAATACAGCTTTCGAACAAGACCAAACTCGTTGAGAATTGAAGTTTGAGACCATCTCCCAGCAAATCCGCCATTACTTATTAGCCAGCCTAATAGTAGCTGGGCTCTGACAGAAAAGTGTCTAGGGTTTGAGGTCAAATCAGAAATTATAATATTAGAAAATCCTAAATCTCTGTTTCTTTACATTGAAAATTGAAACAATTTAGAATGTTGTTTAATAAATCACTGACAATAACCTAATAACTAGCTGGTTAGCTACAAGAGCTACTGGTTGTAAGGGACCAGAGTCAAAGGAAAGATTGATCATTTTATCCTTGACACCATTTTTGTTGACAAATGCTGTTCGTTTCATTTACTTTGAAACCAATTGAACCAATTGACGTTTCTAGGCTGATCTGAAAGGACACTTGGGCCGCCGCTGAGAAAACCTGATGGGTGACCATCTCACAACAATTCACTCACAAGAACAAGGCAACTACCTCTATGGCAAACGCCTTTGCTAACAATCAATTATAAGTTATTAACAGCTTTTTTGCACACAACACTTTTCAGACTTCATCGGCTCCTATGGTTGTGGCGGTTTGTGCTGAATTGGCTTGGCTGGCGGGGGTGTGCAGCCAAATGCCTGGGGTGACGGGTCGAAGTTCAATTGGAGGGCCGATGAAATGGAGGAATCGTCCCGTATCCCTTGTAATTATGTGATAAGTTTTTACATCTGTAGTTTTTATCTCTCGAAACCATCTGTAGTTCCTACAGTAATCGCTACATTAGTTAGAGTAGAATTCTAAAGCTCTAACTAGTATTAGAGTAGTAAAAAGAAACCTTTACGCTTCCCCAGAATAAGTGAGAGTAAAAAGACTACCACCAGAGTTGAACTAGCATGACAGTCCCAGAAACAGAAAGCATTACATTTGACAAACTAAAACAAATGTATCCGTACTAACCAGGGAACCTCTTGAAGTTACATTTCAGGAGCGATATGATTCCAAAGTGCGAAATACACATCCACAATACCCAAAAAGAGGCTGTTGGACCAATTATTCAAAAATCGGAACCTTTTTTACATCAAATCACTATTATTTTATATCTTTGATCAAAAAAACTACCAAGTCTAAAAATTACCAAGTTGCAAAGATGAATTTTGGTGGGAGCCACAAATTCTCAATCTTCATATAGTGCCACGTAAGTCCGAGTCTTTTGCAGGGACAGAGCTTATCTTTGCGATTCTTTTGTGAATCACCGAACACACCGAACTCTCCGGTGCAAAAAACAGTCACGCTGATAGTTTCCCCCTAAACTTTTTATTGCCATAATATTGATTGCGTTTCCATTTCCAACTCATTTGGCTTTGCTGGATTAATTCTTTGTTAGTGCCTGTACAAAAAGAGTCTCTGCTTCCTTTTTCTTAGAGAGCCCCATGAATCATTTTCTCTAAATCTTGGCCCTGGTCCACCAACTGATAAATTTTTACAAAAAGCCCTAAATTTAGCAAATTTGTTTTGGTATTTAGCACTTAGCATTTGGCATTTAGCAAATTTGCTAAATGCTAAATCCTTTTAGCAAAATTGCTAGATGGTAAATGCTAAATAGTTTGGTGGACCCGGGCCCTGGTCACCAGAACTGGTCAGGTCAGTTTCAGGATTGAAAGGGCCAGGGAAACTTTAAGAACACATGTAATTAGACTCTAGCAGGACCTTGACTTGTTCGAGACTAGCCAAACCTTGACAGGTGTGGCCTTGGGAAAATCACGGTTTTGCACATCTGAAAGTTCTTTTGCTCATTTGTTTGTTTTGCTTTTACGCATTTGTTGTTTATCATGCGTATTTTGTTGTTATCTTATGAGCCGGGGCCGCCCAGCTCCGGTATTGATTGGCAATGTTTGATCCGTAGCTTGGCCTGTACCAGTTCCGGACTTGGCTTATGGATCAGAATTCTGTTGAACCCTAATCGCATGTATCTGGGCTGGTATACTTTATGCCCAAAGCGTAAACACACTTTTTCTGGAGTGCTCCAGCAAGGGTGCGTTTACAAATTTTCAGCATAAATCAAAACCCAAAAGAATTTTTTTGCTAAACTTTCCTCAAATTTCTGCAAAAATCTCAACAATGAGATTCTAAGGGTAATTTAATGCGCTGAGTACGAATAACGTGTCTTTAGCCTATGCTGCCAAACAAAAAAACTATCGAAACGCAATTTCGGCACTTTTCTGGGTCCGACTGAGTTCGCTAAAACGCCTGTAAAAACTTCAAAACTGTATGGGTGCAAAAGCGGTTTTTCCCCTTTTTTTGCCTTGAATTCAGCTTCCGAATGAGCCATAACACGTGTAGATTGGTTGAGTTTAAGAACTTATCCAAAAAAAAACGGACAGAACACCTTCCAACCCGATAGTTTAGTGGCCCGGGCCCTTGTCTCTCTTACCAACTTTTCCCGCCAAAGAGAATATTGCACCCGAAAGGCCTGACCTCAAAATTGTTTTTAACTTTTTTTTCAGCCATTCCAAAACATATCCAATATTCTTCTCTGAAAGTAGTATTCGGCTAACTCGCAGCGACAAATGTCAACGGGTTTTCAATCAAGGTATACTTTTTTAAAAATATGAATTACAACTTTTTATAGTTGTTAAATTTCAAGAAAAATATTAAAAAGTACGAAAAAATTGTGAGCATTTTGTACTGTAATGTTTGCTAAAATTAAAACACTGTTTGGACTAAAAACTACCAAATCGCAAAGGTCAAGTATCATTTCTTCAAAAAGTTTGCACATCGTTTTTTGAGACTATGCGTAAAATCTACCAAATTGGATAACTAGGATACCTATGTTATCATTAAATGCGTCCTAAAAATTCCAGACTTCTCAATGATTTTGACGGATTTAAAACACTTGGCCGAGGGGGCTACGGATTGGTCGTCTCGGCTAAACATGTTCTCGATCGAAACGAGTACGCGATCAAGGGTATCCGTGTGAAGAAGGAGAAGATTGAAAGGGTTTTAAAAGAGGTGATTTTCGATTTTTGAAACTTTATTGTGAGCTTAAATCTTTCCGCAACTCATACAACAACAGCTTGTAGAAATCTAACTCGAATTCCAACTAGTCGTGCATAGTTAAAAGCCTACTAATTCATTAAAATAATTAGAAAACCATAATTGTTTAGATTTTTTCCGAGCCAACCAAGTAACTTTCAGGTACACGCAATGGCAAAGATTGATCACACTGGATTCGTCAGATACCACACTTCTTGGGCTGAAGAGCCGCCACCGGAGTTTCAGGTAGCCTCATGAAATCAAGCAAAAAAATGTCATATATTTTCAGAAATCCTATCAAACTCGAATCGAAAAGTTGATAAAGAAGGGGAATGTCGCCAATGAAGAGCACTCTAACTTGTCCAAGCCACACAAGTTTGCGGAAACGATTGGCAATTCCTCACAGGGCCCTTCGGGACCTCAGCGGATTCACAAATCAAAGTTTCTGCAGTAAAAAGTCTAACATAGATACAAACTCTAGGTCTTATCCCTTGGTGAAAAACACAATGACATTCCCTCAACGAGAAGACTCGGACTTGACCGACTCCGAGTCAGAGGAAGGCCCCCCCGGTGACACTCTAGCGTCTAATCTCAACAAAATACAAAGTAGCTAACTAGGCTACCGGTAGCCTTTAAAATTCAAATGCTGAACTCTCAAAAACTTATTCAATCATTTTACAGAAGTTACCAAAAAGCTCATTTACGTTGTGAAAAAGAGAGAATTATTTTTACAGAGGAAGAAAGCTCTGATGGTGGGATTGTGTTTGTGGACAGCAACGGAGAGCGAAACGAAGTAGACGATCTTGACATTGATGAAGATGAAGCCGAGCAGGAACCGACAGTGGATGTGAAATGCTACCTCTACATTCAAATGCAAGTAAGTTAAAAGAGCAACTAAAAGTGGTACTTCCGTTTAGTATTGCCGAGAGGGGACACTGGCAAAATGGTTGAAAACCCACCGGCAACTGGCAAGTCGAAGCATCGAGAACATGTGGAACTGGTTTCGTCAACTGCTTCAAGCCATCAAATACCTGCACAGTATCAATCTTATACATCGTGATATCAAGGTTAGTTTCCTAAATAGTTCCCAATAAATTTTTCTATAGCCACTGAACATTTTCTTGGCCAATCAGAACCAGCTGAAAATCGGCGATATGGGACTTGTTTGTGAAGGAACGAGTTTTGATAATCCCGACGGTGAGCAGAAAGTTAAACGAAGAAAGTCAAACTGCATAAAAAAAGTTAATCTTGGAGAAAATTGGTAACCCTTCTAAGGTTAGATAGTTAAGTATTTGTTGTCGGAAACAATAACCGACAATGTTAGATTTTAAAGTTTCAGTTAGACAGGGAATACCTAGGTAGACTTAACTTTATGTAACTTACTATATTATCCATGATTTTGCTTTATTGGCACTGCAATAGAAATTTTAAACAAACTCAATCATCTAAAGCTAAAAGACATCAAATCCTGGATTTTCCCTTGTCAACGGGACATCAATGAATATTCCTTGTAAAGTTTCAATATATTTTAGCAAGAAGAGAGCCTGAAGAGGGCAAGACGGAAGATGTTGGCACAACACTCTACATGAGTCCAGAACAGGTTAGAACTTTCCAATTGTTTTCAACCCCGTTCTCGTTAGGTGAACCGCCAAAGCTACTCAAACAAAGTGGACGTGTTTGCATTGGGAGTCGTCTTTGTGGAAATCTTTTTCGAGTTCGGCACCGAAAAGGAACGAGTCGATACTTTATTAGCTTTGAAAAAAGGAATTCTTCCGGAGGAATTGCGAGGGCAAGAGCTTATAGCGCCATATACGGTAAGATTAGTCTCAAAAGTCGTTCTATTAATTAGAAAACTGTTTTGCTAGATAGCATTAGAATCTGTTACAAATAAAAAAAAGGATTAGCCGCTGTTAATTCACATTACCTTTAGAGTAAAGTGGGATATCTCGTGAGGGAAGTGTGCACAATCGATCAACGAAGAAGATTGAAATGTGCAGAACTGGTGAAAAAATGGAACAAGTCACCATTCCAATCGACTGATCCGATAAGCCGTCCTCGGCCTCCTCACTCGAGCTCTCCAACATCACCACTTCATGCTCCAGCTCCTCCTCTATCTCGCCCGGGTGTTCGTCTTCGTGGGACTGTCTCGGCTCCTCGCCTACAACAAGGACACATTTTCTTGGAAAGAATCACATTTTCTAATCGTTTTCTTTAGTTCAGTTTAGTTTTCTTTGCTTATTAACAAAATCGAGTTTTGTATCTTTCGGTTGTGATAGCTCCTATTTATGTTGGGCTTCAAAAAGTATTTCCAATGCTTGCATACTTTGTTTTTTTCGTGCTCCAACTATTAGGCTGTCCCAAAAGTTTTTGTGTGTTTTGTGCAAGCCGTTTTTGACCCAGTTGATCTAAAAATTTCTTCTAACATATACACATACTCTGAAAGCTAACACTTTTTTCTACAAGATGATTCAATTTCTTTTACAAAATACCTAATTTTCTCAAAATCGAATTTTACAAAATAGGGTACCTGACCGGGCGAACTAATGAGCGCCAAAAGCCAATTTTTAAGCCAGAATTTCGTTTTGAAACCAATTCCATTGGGAAGAGCGTAAAATTTCACCCTAGAATATATTTACTCGTCAATTTTTTTTATTTAGGACTTTGTCGAAAAAGACCATTTTTCCATTAAAAATGACTGGAAAAATAACCAAAAATATGTTCGGTGACTCAGCACGCAGCAAATAAACATATTAAAAGTTCAAAATCGAACTTTTCTTATACAATTTTTTGTGCTCTTTTCAGTAAAATTATTTCCTAGTTAGAATTCGATCAAAAAGTTGGTTTAAGCTGCTCATTAGCAGACTATCCAAATTCATATTTTCTGCTCAAAAAATTTTTAGTAAAACACGAGGCTGTTTACGAAAAAATCAAAAAAGTTACGTATTTCAAAAAACAGTCAATGCCAAATTGTTAGCTTTCAGAATATGTATATATGTCAGGAGAAATTTTTAGATTGAATGGTTAAAAAACGGCTTGCACAAAACACAAGAACTTTTGGGACAACCTAATGCTTGTCCTGAAAGTTAAATTTTCCATTTAATGTTAGTAAATAGCTTCTTGTACATTTGTGAAAAGATTTGCCAGACGTTTGAAAATTATTGTAGGTGTTTGGTTTCCTTTTTTCTTTCAAAAGACACAAGAAATAAGAAAAAAAATTAACTAACACTTTCCGATGGTCTTCCTCGTTGGCTTTTGCTTTTCTTCGACCCATTCTTTTTCATGACCCCGACTGACTTTCAGACCCCAACTGCTTTTCCTTTTCGACTTCATTCTACAACTTTTAACATTGTTGTTCACTAGGTATAGTGATAGCAAATGAGGTAACACAATATTGTCATTGCCTACCGTGACCTACGTCGGAGATTTGTTCACCAATATGTGACTACAACTGCCGGGGGTAAAAGTTGTTAGAGTTGCACTTAGCCTGAAAAAGTGTTTAAAACCAAAAAATTTGAGTTTTTCTTTTCTTCAATAACTAACAAACGTTGTGAGGAATGCTAGTATCAAAGATCAACGACACAAAACATTTTTTCCAAAGCGCCCCAACCTTCCATGCACGCGTTTGCCAGAAGTCATTTATTTAGACATCAAATCATAATTACAAGTATATTCATAACAATAATTTAAACTTGTGGTAAAAATCAATCGAAAATGCCCTTCTTGCCGGCTCTCGGCTTCTCCTCGTTGACCGATTGCTCGACGCCGGAACGGGGTTTTTCTCGCTGAAAACGGGTTTATTGGATTTGAATTTGTTTTGGTATTCCAATATATTTGCAAGCTAACCGCTAATTTTTTTATGTGCAGGAAAGTGGTGTTACTTAATAACCGTAAAAACTCTAATAGAAGAGTCGGCTCTTCTATTTTTCAACACCTCCAAAGCCGTTGGTCGAAAAAGTAGGTAAAGGGGGACCATATGGATCGATTATTTTTGCTCAAAATCGATTTTAAACAATAACTCTTGGTTTAAAACGTATGAAAAACGTGTTTAAAGGTAAAAGACTTTACCCACCCGAGGCCACCAACTGATCTCCCAAAAAGATCAATGTGGTCCCCTCTTGCCACTTTTGTCGAAAAAGTATTTTTTCTTTTTTTTTTGAAAATCAAGTTTCCAATTTTATTGCCAATGCTAGAATAGTAAATTTTAGGTTTAGATCTATCAAAAGAACCTCCACAAGGGGGGGGAGTCTAAAGTTAATATTTCGAGGGGTCAGGAGGGGGCTCTACTATTGGAGAGGGCTATTCCAAGCCACAAGGTGGCTGAAAAGTTCTGTCCGCATTAATAGACGAAAATTTGAGACACTTTAGGCTTTTACAAGTATTATTACAGAGACAAATCTACTAATGAGGACAGAACTTTTCAGCCATCTTGTGGCTCTTCTATTAGAGTTTTTACGATATTTATAATCAAAATACGTCTATATTGAAATAGCACATAAAGAAACTTACCAATGGTTTGGCTGGAGGCTCTTTCCCACTCTCGGCGCTCTCACTCAGCTGGAATCTCAATTTCAATTGCAAATGTAGTTATTCTTTTGCATTAGAATTAGTCTGTTTATCTAAACCATAAACAACCATTTACAACTTTTGACAAGACTTGCTTTGTTTTTCAGCAACAAAGCTAATTTTGATTTAGACTAACTAAGCATGGAAAATAATATTCTCGCACAAAATAGCTAAAGCAAACTAGCTTAATTAGCTTTAGCTAAAGCAAAAATAGCTTGATTAGATTTCGAACTTTGTAACTTCGAACTGGAAATAATAAAGTTAGAAAATCGCCATGACACCCACTACCTTCTTACATGTTTACTGCCAAATGAGTTGAGATTAAAAACCAAATTTTGACTACTATAAATGCATCTTAATATTTGTTTTATAAAAGCAATATTTTTGAGATATTTAGCTATCTAGCTAATTGTCAATCTAGCTAATTGTAAGGGTTTTCTTCAAAGAACCAACCCGTCTCGGGAGATCCCTCAACTCGTCCGGGTCCATGTCAATGTAGTTGGTCATATCGCTGTCCATTGTTGCTCAGAAGATTGACAGATTGAACAAAAGAATGCAAATGTTAGGAATTTCTGTGTTTTTCTGGGGGCTTTTGTAGAGCTTGGCGGCACAATGATCGACCCGTGTGATCCCCGTTGTTTTCGAGATCCCTCACCAACCCGTCAAAACACGTCCCCATCCCCCCTTTGCGGGGCGAACTTTCGCGTAAACAGCCTCGTGTTTTACTCCTTTTTTCTCCTAAATGGAGAGTTTCCAAAGCATTATTTCGCCTTTCTCTCTGAACGGGAAAAACAGTTGCCCACTACAGCCGAGGCTATTTTCGAGAGACCGAATGAAATGAAAAATGAAAAAAGAATGAAATAACAAAGTCGCTACAAAGGAACTCCCCATCTCAAAGATCAACTGTACTTCTAAGCCCTTCTTTCTCAAAAATTTTCCGAGAATGTTATGGAATTTATTATACAAATTCAATTTAGTTCTGAGATAAATTAGATATTTATAAATTCTCAGACTTCTTATATTTTGGCCTCCCAAAATGAGTTTTTTTTTCGGTGCTACCTTAATGAATAAAGGATATACAAAAAGAAGGCATTGAGCTACACAAAACCATCAGAAACAATTCTTTGCTATTTTTCTTATCAATTTCTCAAATTGTTAATCCTCTCTGACCCCATCTCACCTTCTGGGATTACCTCTCTGGGATTTCCAAAGGATTACCTCTCTACGTTACAAAAAACACGGAAAAACAGTTGCCCACTATAGCTCCCATCTATTTTAGGTACAAAAAATAATGGGTAATAACAAGCCGCCACAATAGAATCATCTCGCCTCTCAAAGATCAACGTTAAGTTGTTTGAGCCATCATCTCTTGAAAAAAGCTTTAGGATCAACTTGTTTGTGGGGATACACAATCCAGACTGAGTGTCTGCCGATTCTAAAAAAGTTGCTAAAAACTACCCTAACTTAGAAAATCTTGCAGCTATACAAAATAAACCCAAGAATGAGCAGTTTGAGTGAGATTAGAAGAAAGGATACGAAATTATTCACATTTAAAAATACTGTTTGAAAGGAACACATTCTAAGCCGTACTGACTGTGTCCTCACATTCTCATTTCATCGATTCTTGTCATGTTTGTTAAATTTTTTGTTTATTATGATATTCATATTATTTGTTGCTTAACACTTAAATAGAAAGTTTTGAACAAAATTTTTGAATATTTAGCAATTACGAAGAGAAGAGGGATTAGGGAACACTATAAAACGGCTCTTTAAAAAAACTTAAAGGGAGTCGAATCCTCGACCTACAGCTTTGCATTCCAACACGTTATTTGCTAAACTACGCAAACATTTTTTTTGTCGCGCGGGCAAGCGTTATAAGAGAGGTCAAAACTTGTTTACCCAATTCCTTGCGATTCCGATCTATTTAGCAAAAGCGGACAGCAGATTCAGAAACAGCGTAAAATTCTGCATCGAATGGTCTAGGGCTCATTTCGATTGACCACCTTGATTTTGTGGATTTCCCTTGTAAATTGGATTCTTGTAAGCATAGTCAGCGAAACTCCGTCTGTCTGTATGTTCGTGTGCATTTTCCCATAGTTTGTTATCTATAGGAGAAATTGTAAGTATCTTATAAGGTTTTAATATTACATTTACAACCTAAGACAACTACCGTTAGTAGAAACCCCCTTTATTAGTCAACCACTTCTAATAGTAGCCCCGGGGTTACTATTACAGGAAATACGGTATATTTTTGATTACAATGAGTATTAAAAACTAGCCAAACTTTATTCATTTCAAAGCAATTATGAATTGAGCAGTAGAAATTTGAACTCATAAAAAGGTTCAACTGTTTCAGATCAAATCCACGCACTCAACGAGGGGAGGCCAACGCGAAAAGGCACTAAGTCAACGTGCACAATGGTTACATTGCAGCAATGGATTCGAACATCCACGTCGTGCAGCAAGTTTACAATCAGATGACTGCCTGGAGTTGGGATTTGAACGATTGGATCAACTACTTGTCGTCGTTGATCCCGATGAGCACTCGAGTTCAGGACAACATCGACTTTGGTGATGGGGAAGTTACTCGGAAGAGCCTGAAGGAATTCAAGGACAAGTTGAAAGAACACAATCTTAAAGCTTCGATTGAATCGCTTGGCCGTCGAATGGCCAGCTATTTGCTTATTTGATTGATTTTAACCTTTCATACAATTGTAAAAAAACTTTAATTTTTTCATTTTTTTCTTTATTGATAAAATATTATTTGAAACCTGCAAAATCGGATTTTTGTAACATACCTACACTTATAAAAAGTCTTACATTCACAAGAATTTGCTTTTTCGTGAACATTTTTCTTAGACATTATAATTTTTTTAAAGGTTTGGATGATAGTCTTTGAAGTTTAAAGTTTAAGACGAAAGCTGTAAACAAAAAACACCCGTTGAGTTTTTTTTAGAACATATAAATAGGATTATTTATATGTTCTGAAGGCTATAAAATTGATCTATGTGCTCTACAGGAGACAAAAAGTTAGCAGGCAACAAAGCCACAGAGGGCTAAAAAGTCTTGTATGCTAGCAATCCAAAAACAAAAAGCTTTGTAGCATTGCTATTGGAGGAAAGCCACTTTTTGATGGTTACTTTGGCATCCATTGAACAAAAAAGAGATCTCATAACCTCTATTTTTTTCCTAGCTTGTACTTGAAAAGTTTATTGTAGTAAAGCTTCCCTTCCCTATCTTCAACTCCATTTTTTACTGTTTACAAAGGATAAAAGTCAAATAGCTAAGTAGTCTTTTAGTTTATTTCATAAATATCTAAGCATTTTGTGTCGTGTTTTATATCAGTTGCCATCAAATGAGATCAAAAACCTTTATTCTATCTTGTACTTCCAAATTTATAACAGTTTCTTATCCCCATCCATATCTCGTAATAGTGTAGTATGGATAGGTGGTCTCTCTTGTGTACGGAGTGTATTTTGTCGTCTGGGAATAGTAATAGGATTGAAGCATGGCGGTTGTGGGTAGATTGTTGGCACATGGAGCATAGGTTTTCGTCTTTTGATGATGCTGGAAGTAGCCGGTGTTCGAGCAGTGACATTGGTAGTAGGGATAGCCCCATTGGTCGATCCCCAGATAGTTGATCACTGAAAATGAAAAGGTTGTATCAAAGCTAAAAACATTTTTATTTTACAAAATTTTTTACAGCTAAACTGTTTCTTGCAATTTTTGCTACCCAATACCAAATTTTGACAGTGCACACACCAAGAAGAAATGAACGGTTTTTGTTCATTTGATTGGGTATTCATAAAAGCCGTAACCTTTTTAAAATCCAGCTTTCGTTCTCGTTAGTCAAAAAACTCTATTAAAAACCACAAAATGGAAAATTTTCTGATGTCAACTTTAAAACAACAAATATTTTGCAAAGGTTTAGTGTTTTACAAGTTTGTAGATAAACTAACTATCTTGCAAAACTACCTAACAAATTTCAGTTTAGCTTCAAGAATTTTAATAATTTAAACAAATTTAAGAATTTTATAAAGAAAGTTGAAGAAGATATTTCAACCGATTTATTCAGATAAAAAACTTGCAATTCATAGTCTGCAAAAACGATTGCAAGTTAGCTTATTGACGTAGATTCTCAAGTTTTCAATTATTGATTGTAATAATTTTTCTATTTTTATTTATTTATTATAAACTGTTGATACTAAATACAGGGTTGGGCAAAATTACCCGGACAAGAAACTTGTTTGATTCTTATTCGTCAACCGTTCCATAAAACTCCTATAATTCTATTTTTTTTATTTTTCTATAAACTCTTAGTTATCTTTAAAAAATTAGTCACACTTTTCCAGTCTTAATGTTGTTTTTCCTACAGTTTTTCAGAAGCCAGAAGGCGCTGAAAAGGGAAAAATGAAGCTCCGAGCCAGCATCAATTTTACCCGATGCTTTGTGGTTCGAAAGAAAAGTCGGTCGACGGATTTTCCTTTTCAGTAATGTCCAAATAGGTTAAGAAATGAGTAAATTTATAATATGGAGAAAATTATACGGTTAAGTTGGCTGGCTGCAAGGTTACAGCTGCAAGAACTCTTGTCCGGGTAATTTTGCCTAACGTTACAATTGAATTTTGACCATTGAAAGTGTTATTATTAGAAAATCAGCCTAACCGATGATAAGCCCCGTCCCCTTTTTAAAAATGGACCTAAAAGTCAGATTCCCCATAGCCGAAAACCTCCGGGAGCTAAATATTGCGCGCAAAAGTTGAATACTTTGCCTTTTAGGGGCAAACGTAATTACGGTGCGTCGCGTTTAGACGCACAGATAGACGGACGTGTCTTCTGCTTTATATATAGTAGATCTCTTACCTCGACACTGTCCAGCTGGTCCTGAAATGCCAGCCCCTCGGTATTGCATCGGTGAGTTGGCTGTTTGATAATACGGCGTCCCATAGAAAGTTTCACTGTACGGCTGCCCACTGTACGAATAGCTCGAACTGGATCCACCCCAACCAAACAGCTGTCCATCACTCAGATGAATAAAAGCTAACAGCAGTCCAAAAATTATTGACATTGCAGAAAACATTTGAGCAAAAAAATGGGTTTAGGAATTTTCTCTCGAGATTTCCCCTAATTTATAGTTGCAGTCAATTGAAAGTGTTAGCCGAACTCCATCGAACTCGACCAAAAAATTCCATCGAAAAGCCCTTTTCTCATTTGATTTGGATCTTATTGAGAAAAGAAAGCACCCGTTTTGGGGGTGACATTGAACTCGCCAAAGACCGCTTTGAGATGATTGTGAGAAAAAGGATGCTCTCATCAGTTCAAAGATTATTTTGAGCAAACACACCCTAAAACTCGAAATGTTTTTGTACAATTTTGTGCTAGACCAGAGCGATTTACAATTTGCAAATGGGTTTGGCTAGAAGACAATCAGAAAACTTGGTTGAACTAAAGATTGCTAAAGGTTTTTTAGTAATCAAAATTCAACGAAAGCTTTCTCATAAGCAGGCAAAAGTATTTAAAGGTTAACTTTCCAAAAGCTGTTGAAGCTGGCAAAACAAGGGGTAAAGATTATGAACGGTAAGACAAAAGCCATGGATTTGCTGATCCGAACTGTTGAGCTTGATTTTACTCTTTCAGTTACAAAAAAAACAATAACAAAAAACTGTTTAGTTTTAAAACACATAACCCCAAATAGCTTTTAACATTTGCTTAACGCAGAACCTTCTCGTAAAAACTAAGAAATCTACCGGAAAAATCCCTCAAACCCCTCCCAAAACTGATATTCATGGGAAGAAAATAATACTCTGTTGCTGGGGGAACTCAAGATAACAGTAAAAACAAGTTATTGTCGCGCTTGAGATTGTTTCGATGGACAATCGGACACAACATATATGTAGTTAACAAAAAATTCGCAAATCTCTTCATTTTTGCATCAAATAAGGTTTTTAATATTGTTTTCTTTCACTTTCTTTTTTTCTTCCGCATTTTTTAGGTGATGACACCCAAAAGAGGGGGTTTTCTCTCAAATACGAAAGGAAACATTCACGTGATTGCCAAGAGTAAAAATCATCCACTCAACCCATCAAAGTAGAGCTGTTTCATGGAATTCGAACCTGCAGTGAAACTCGAAAGTATCGACTAATCATACCTCCCTTATAAAAGGCATCTTTTTAATAATTTTATGATTGCTGGGCTAAAAGGATCTTAGCTTAGGTAAACATAGTTAACAAAAAAAGAGAAAGTTAGCATAGATAACAAAAGAGAAAGTTCAAGTTTAACTGAAATAAGTGCTTAAGTTAGATTTTTGTTGTTTTAATGTTAAATTTAACCCTTTCATTCATTTAGGCAGTTGCCTTAGGACACGATTAGGATGAAATTGTTGCTTTTGATCGACATTTTCCCTAAAAGCAGAAAGAGCACGAAGAGTTTTTGATTTTTTTTTACAAAGAGAAGATGGTGATTTCAAGCACCTCATTGCGTCGGATCCAGAAATTTTGTTTTTCTACTTTTTTTATCGGGAAAACTGTATAAATTCGGAAGAGGGGCATGTACAAAAAACGAAAAACCCAAAAAAAGTTTTAAAAAATGGCATATTTCGACAGAGCATCCATGCAAATTTAGAATTTTTAGTCCCCATTTGGCTTCTATTTGGTTCCCATTCAAAAAAAAACGTAAAAGGTAACAGACAAAATCTCGAGTACAGCGAACGCTACACCAAGTTTTGCTTGAAAGTTGTGGATGCAGAACGATTTGAGTTTTCATTCCAGCAAAACCATGAATTTTTGATGACATGGGAACACCAAATCACTTTTGTCACTCATTGTTTTCAATGAAACGTTTGTTCATCTTCTTTCTCATCTGTATATCAATACAACGTGTGGAACTGCCGGAAAAAGTTTATCAGAGCAAAAACAAAACTAACTATCATATGCAAAACGGAAATTACCTTAAAATTGTCGGGCAGGTTGAGAGTTTTCACATTGAGATTGCATCCGACTAGGGCCTTCTGCTTTGAGGAGCTCCTTTTCTTTCGACCGCCTTGGCCACTTCCGGAAGGGCCACATTTTTCTACAATGATAATAATCATGTGAATAAAGTAAACATAATTCAGTGAATACTAATTGGGTAATTTATTCTCACAAGTCTAATGCTATCTATTCTTACATAAAGCACTCCACAAAAACAACCTATCCCTCACCTTGTTGATCATTAGCCAAGTCCAAAGCTAGGTTGATTGCGTCTAAAACTTTTCGAGTTAAAGTAAAATACTTTTATACGTTTGACAATACACGTTTTTTAGGCGGTAACTAACCATGGTCTTCGGCAGTTAGCGCTCGGCTTGCTGAAGCTAAATTTAAACAGTTCACCCTTTGTGTAAAATTCACAATTATGAAATCTCTGTTTGAGCCAGCAAAACCTCATGATTCACTAAGATTCTATTCATTGTTTGTACAATCTTGCAAGAGCGTGTCTTGTGTCTTGTCAAACCTCTTCCACTGCCACTACTAACAACAGAAGCTCTCCCACTGCCACTCGACGGTTTCTGCTGCTGCTTCTGTCGACGAAGTTCTTTAGCTCGCTTTTCAACTCCTTCATTGAAACGCTGCTGAGCTGCCATTTCTTCTCTTAGTTCACGTACTCGGCTTGCTTTTTTCTTACTGCGATTACTTTTTCATCTATTTGTTGCTGTTCAGAGCGGAATTGTTTCTCATGTTGTCTCATCGTTGCCAGCCTAGCCCACAATTCCGGCGCGGCCGGTGTTTTGGATTTCCTGATATGATGCTCCATTTTGGCTTTCTCTGCCTGCACCTTTTCAATATTCTCAGCTATTTCACTTTTTCTCTCTCGAAGTTTTCTAATTTGACGTTCTCCATATTGAAATTGTGCATCTTGAGTTAAAGTAGCCACATCAACGATCGGCAGCTCTTAAAGCCGTTTTGAAACGAAGAGGTTATATATTTTTACCCAATCTTTTGTAATTAAACTATTTTTAATACTAAAGTCTGCGTTTAACTGAAAAAAGCGATTCAAAAGTCAACGATACTATATGAATTTCTCCGTAGGTTTCTAACAAGCAAAACTAAACCTTCCGTCCCTTATGGTATTTCTATTAACACTAGCGTCAGGTTTTGAAAATCGTTAACTACCTATTTGCTTTTTTTTCGTCAATTAGTAATCTTTATCAAGAAATTAATACAAATTTATACACACCGCCATTGTGCAAAACTTACGTCCAGAGGTTGGTGAGTCCGACCTCGGACCTCGATCTGTGACTAGCCGAACTGTCCCGGACGGACCCGGTTTATCTGTTGGCATACTCCCCAAAACCAGTACATACTCAAACAACGATAGATACAGTAAACAGTTCCACATTTTTAAGAATGTTGAAAATGACGTTAACGATTTTTATTGCCTTTGGAGAGTCAAATTAATTACACGTGGCAGAGGTGAACGGAATAAAAGCTTGCTCAAGATTCAACATTTGTTCATGAAGGTGCGACTGGAATAATTAGCCCAATAGCACAAAACAAGTCATAAGCCGAATATGTGTTGGTTTTGCGGGATATAAACAGAACACACTTTAATAAAACGCCTTTTGAGCTCAAGCTTTTCCTCCAAGTTACTATTTTTTCTAAATCTTTTTTTGGTTGTAGATTTAGATACGGTTGCCGTAAATTGTAGCTTTTTGAATGGATAACGAACCTTTGGCCTGAAGGTCAGAAGCTGGCCTCTTGGAAAAATAGTCTTCCAATTGAATTTATCAACGTTAAGACACACTAGACTCAATTAAATTTGTCATTTGTCACCAAATCATCTTTACATTTGAAGGGAATTTGTTACCAAATCACTTAAATTTGTCAACAAATCATTTAAACGGCTGAATATCTTCACATTCACAATCACTAAGATGAACAAAAGTAAAAACTTTATTTGTTGTAATATATAATGATCAGGTATACCGAATTCGTCTGTTAGTCTTCGCATCGAACAGCGTTCGCTGGTTGGTGGTTCATATTGTTTGGACCGCCAGTCCAAATCCATCGATCTCCGTCGGAATTGCAGTAAAAGAGGGCTCTCGTAAAGAGACTGCCAATTTCGGTGCTCCCGTCAAACTAAAATGAACGATAAAGGTTAGAAACATTTTGCTTCTCGTCACTGACAACATTGCATTTAAAATTTCTAGGAGATGACTTTTTCATCTATTTGTTGCTGTTCAGAGCGGAATTGTTTCTCATGTTGTCTCATCGTTGCCAGCCTAGCCCACAATTCCGGCGCGGCCGGTGTTTTGGATTTCCTGATTGATTGATTGATTGATTGATTGATTGATTGATTCGAAATCGAGATTGATTCGAAATCGAGGGTGCAGTAACGACATTCTAAAATGGCAGAGTTGTTAGACTTTTTGCTACATTTTATTAGATTTGAAACACAAACTAAAACCAACCTTCAGTGGGAAAGCCTTGGGCAGACACCTGAAAATCCTTTAATTACCGTATTACCTCTAATAACTGCACCCCTCCAGTCAAAATTCACCTAGCTGGGGACCACCTCGAAAACCAACTTTTTGCTTGAGCTTTTTGCTCCAAAACATGTGTTTATGAGTATATTTTTATATTCCAAAAAGGTAGTGAAATCCGTTTGACCATTTTTGAAAAATTATTGAAAAGTTTTTTTTCAAAAAATGGTAAGAGGGGACCACATGGATCTTTGGACCTTGATCCAGTATGAGAAAAAGTTTTCATTTTAAACGCATTCTTCATAGGCTTTAGAGCAATTTTTATAGGTTTCATGGGTTGTTAAAATAATTTTTAGAAAAGTTTTAAAAGATTTTTTGATGGGTCCCTTTACCAATTTTCCGGGGAGTCCTAAAAAATCGATTGAAAAAATAATAGGCAGGTATTAGAGAAAATACGGTATGTGGTTATTGCCGGATTATCCCTTCTTTTATTATTTTATTTAGTTCTAGAGCTAATTTATCTTGGATGCCGGCTTTAAGACAAAGCCAGCCATAAGGTAGCCTAGTTTAGAGAAGATTAGACTAGTTGATTGCTAGTTTTCTGTCTGGGTGTTGTGCTTGATAAGAAGGAAGAATTAAACCTGTTGCAACACAATCACCAGGAAGGAAATCACGAGAAGAGCCCGTTGCATTTGTCTCAAAATTTTGGCGCAAAAATGACTCAAAGTGAGCTATTTATTGCCCTATTGAGAGCACTCGAAAACACATGAAAAAAAAATGATTAAACCAAAATGAAAGAGTGTTTATCAAGAGACAGAAACGAAGCGAATGGTTTTCATATTGAATAGTTGAATAGCGAATAGTTGAGAGCAGCAATGTTTTAAGCGGGAAACGACAGTGACTCAGTGTAGGAGAATCTCCTGTAACGACTCCAAAGGTGGACTTGCACGGAAAGAAGGCAATGTTATGTGTTTGGTGGAATACAAAGGAACTTGTGCACTTTGAGGTGCTCAATCACGAGCAAAAAGCGAATTCTGAACTCTTATGTTCAACAACTTGAGCGGATAAATCAAGTATTTCGCCAGCAGTGGACTAATTCGGGCAAAGTGTGTCGCCTTCAAGATAACGCCCGCCCACACAAGTTGCCTCAAGAGAAACTTGAGGATCTGGGTTGGGAATCTCTCCCTCACCCGCCGTATTCCCAGACCTCGCCCCTACGGATTATTTATTTCGAACGCTGCAACACTCTTTGGCGGGGAAGAAGTTCAAAAAGCACGATGAGATCCGAATCTGGGTGCGCTAATACTTTAATAGTCAAACATCCCAGTTTTTCGAGAATGCGATTCGAGATTTGGAGGAGAAATGGAGAAAGACCATCAAAAATAATGGCGAATATCTTTTGGAATAATTGATGTTTTTCGCAGTATTTTATTAACAAAGTTGTTATGTAGAAAGCAGCGGTTTCATTCGGTGCAACCTTATAAAATTATTAAAGAAAGGGCGATGTGAAAAAATTTGAATTTTATCTTTCTATCTTGTCAAAAAATTGACATTAACACCTTCGTTTTCATGTCTCGAAATGCACTTGAAGTTCTTCCGAACTGTCGTAAATGAGCCATGACATTGTTGGTTGTGCCCTGTTTTTGTATTGCTAACGATAATCTGCTGTATGGCTACGGTTCAACTGAAGAATATTAGATTTTGTATAGAAAATATTTCCCATTTGAACCAACACATCAAAAACAAAAACAAAAACTCCAAATCACTACTGGTAGGAAGGTCAAGGTGGCATCAGAAAAATGGTTTTCTGTTAAAACGAAAACTCGTTAAATTTAAGAGAATTCTGGTTTTTTTTGCACAAAATTTTACGATCTCCTGTGATTCATGAAAGAAACCATACATAAAAAGTCGTTTAAGCTGTTCATGAGCTTAAATGCTTATGAAATCTCCATAAAACTGATAGAGAATCTGAGAGTTCGTAAAAATGCCGTTATAGCTTCGCGTTTTCGACTTTCGTTCTTTGCTCGGCGATGCTCTTTAAGGAAATTTTGTTGTGAGACTTTGAAACAGATGAATAAAGTTTAAAAATCTCTTACCATTGATTTAAACTGATAAAAAGTCCGCCAGAGTGGGCACACTGACTAGGAATGGCCATTGCTCATGGAAAAGAATCCATACGGGTCTATACTATATCAGTCCTACATCCAAAAAACACAAAACAAGTAAAGGTAAAATTTTTTGAACTATTTGACATGGATAGATGACCCCACCGTCAACATAGATCACGTTTCATTGATCACTCTACAATCCAAAAATAAATTTGTGCTGAGATGAGACGGCTGATGTGTGGGTGGCAGCTGGGAACACAAAATTCTTGATCAACAGAAACCATTAAAAATTTTTGAAAAGCTACACGTTCTAAAAGTGAAAATAATAGGTCATTCTACAAAACTTTGAGACAATTTGTTTGCATAACTTGCAAGAAGTCATTTATAAAAGTCGTGTCGGTGCAAGAGTTTCACCAATTATTGGAAACTCTCGAAATGAACGCATTCCTCGCCTCAGCTCTCGTGGCTTTGTCCCTTATCCAGGTTTGTCCCTTATCCCTTATCCGGTGGCAGTTAACGGCTTAAACCTTAGCCATGGAAATAACAAGGATAACTTTACTTTTACACAGTTTGCACCGCCAATGTTAGTTCTTTAGGCCTCTTTAGCAATCCTAAAATTGGCTTGGCTTATAATAAAAAATGAAATTCATCAAGTGTCGATAAGGTTTGCAAAAATGTCGAACAAAACTTTGTTCTGTATTATCTTACTTAAAAACCCTCAATCCAGATCACCATCGCTGGTTGTCCCCAAATGCCGACTGGAGTCGTTGCAACTAACATTGGAGGCAAGTATTCTCACTGTAAACTTTTTAAGTCCCAATCTATAACAAAATTTTAGCATCAGTCGGAGGTTCCTGCCCGGAGACGGCCACGTGCTATACCAAGAACAAAGTAGAGGCGTGTTACGTTGTGGTACGTTTGAGCAACTTCTAACTTTAGGTCTTTAGGTTTAGCTTTACCGTCTTGGTCTAAAATTAAACAGATATGAAGAGTTATTTAACCGACTACTTAATCTCTGAACTACTTTGAAACTATGATATGCTTTCAATATTATCATCTTCTTTTCAGACGTCAACTCCGGCATGCCCGAGATTCCCCGCTGGATCGAAGGCTCAGAGCATTGGCCGTAAGTTTTTCTTTCTTCTTATTTTCATCAAGATCTACTGAACAAAAACGTAATTTAGCTGCTCTTGCTGAAACGTGTTTTATTGGTCAATGCTACTACAAGAATGGCTATTCTGATTGCTACATGTGAAACAATACTTAAGAAACATCTTGAGTGGAATTTCGAAAATAAATATTGAAATAAAATATGACTTGAATTCCTACAGGCTAACGCAAAGAATGTGAAGAATTCTATTAGACAGAGGCAGTCATTCACTCCACAGCTGACCGCTCGATGCTCCATAGATTCTTCCATCCGCTTTGCAAAGTGCGACTCTTTTTAGATTTGCGACGAGAAATCGTCGATACGGTTTTGTTACCATCATCATCACCAATGCATTCAATGCGCCGTGCGTTGAAAGCATAACAACGAAAACCGAAGTGGGCTCTGCAAGATAAATTAATAATGAATACTAAACTGGATTCTCAACTCAAGTTGTCTCAAGATGCTCACCCTGAAGATTCCGTTCGAGACGGGTTTGAGCAAGAATGGAAAAAATGTACAGTGGAATCACGTAGCCAACTAGAGGTACAATTGCCTGGAAGATTGTGTTGATTTTGTGCTGATAACATTTCCCTATCTTTTTTTACTTGTATAATCAGAGCGACAATGGCAAAGAAGTGGCGCTTTCTCGCGCTATCGTTCAGCAAGTTTCTCGATCGTTTCAACCTTTCAAATGCCCACCAAATGACCATAATATTTACGAACATGTAGGTAACGCCGGCTGCAAAAAAATCCCCTTAAAAACAACGCCAACAACCCACATATCGCCCAATACAATTGACACCAAAAAAAATTCGGGTTTATCCAGTTATCAAGCAGGAAAAGATTAAAATCGTGGTCGAGTGTCTCATGCCAGTTGAGTACATGCTAAAGTTTGACTAAATTTAAGGATTTTACTCAAAATCTTTCACTACGAACAAACTAGTAAATGACTAGGCGAAACTTACATAGGCGAAAACATAATAACTCCAATCGTAGCCTCGAAGAGAACCGGAGTCACAGTCTAAAAAATCTATTTTGTTATCTTTAATCTATTTTCTTAGCAAATAGATTTTGTTAGCAAATCTATTGGGTTAGTGAATCGAAAACTGCCGGACTTTGAACTAAAATTTATTCAACATAAAACCATAAATTCATTCCAAATAATTTCCATTATTATTGACAACTTCTGCTCATTTTACAGGCAATCTGCGGATTCCTCTTTCGTGGTAGGATTTTGGTTTTGAATCGAAAAACTTTTAGAGCCAATCTTTGACTGTTTCTTCCGAATCGAAGTGTTCTCCCGCAAGCACATTCCTCATGATCCGGAATAAATAGTAATCAAAAAGGGCGAGATCCGGACTGTATGCGGGATGCGCCAGATCGAAACTTGGCAAACCATACTCGACAGGTTCTTTCGGGAGGTGAGTCCTCCCCATTTATCTTTTTAATATTAGCAGCTGCCAAGCCTGCACTGTGCTCTTGTAGGAACTCATGAAGCATGGCATGACAAATATGTCCGGTGGCAGATTGTCGGGTGCAATAGAAGAAGTGAAGAAAAATGCCACAAAATCAAAAGCTGGAAGCATAATTTTTCCGCAATAATTTGAGGAAAGGTTTAGAACCAAACCCCGTTTCAGCTGGTTCAATGCTGTTGTTTTTTTTATCTGCGAGTCCCGCGAAATAGCTCGCAGTTTTCAATTGACCAACCCAATATTTTGCTAGCTTCCAAAAGTTAGTTTACCACAATCAAATTTCTGCCTCGTCTGATCGGCCAACAATTTTCGTAGAGCACCATCAAACGATAGAGGAAGCCAATTTGAATGGAAGCCATACAAAAGTTTACCATTAAAATAGCACTTGCCTAGTTAAAGCGCTTTTTAAAATGTTTCATCAATACAAACTGCAACAAAGCAATGATATTTATGGTCGGCCTCCCATCGCCACAAACGCACTCGTCCCACACCGCCCACAAGCGGAAAAAAGGAGAGCGGTTGTATCCAGAATGCGACAACCAAATCGGAAATACTCGCACAGATCTGTGAATTTTAAGTAATATTGGTTTCCTTAAATTTTAGCCTAGTTGTTAGCTGTTAGAAACCCGTTCTTTTACAAGACTCACCAATAGATTGGGTTGATCGTAAGGAATGAGAATTCTAAAAGTGGATAACTTTGAAAACTAGCGTAACCATTTTTCTCTTGATTTTTACGATCCATACGTTTTTGGAGTTTATACTGTAAGTTTTTTTTGAGTAGAATTGGATGAAATGGAAAACAAAAAACGAGTAGATTATGATAGTTTCCCAGATGTCCATCTTTTAGAAGACACATTAATCAGAATCAGAATCAGAATCAAACCCACCAAAATGTTGAACAGACACCATTTATAATTTTTCATTTCTTTTGTTGACTTCTTTATGATACAATAGGCTCCAAGACAGGAGCTAATAATCGAGGCCACTCCAGCCGTGCGATACCAAGGCACAAGACGATCGTACATCGCGACGTTCATAGTCAAGTTCCGAGACGGTTCCGTGAAATTATAGACAATCCCATGGAATTTGAAACTCAAACTGGACATGATAAAAAACACAAATAATTTTTACAAATATTTCTCAACTTAGGTCTACATTTTTTGTTGTTTTTCGCTTATTTTTTCACCTGCCAAAGAGAAAGTTTTTGCTAGAAATCGACTTTTAATTACAAATACATATGCTTTGATGTACTTTGCTCAACAACAAATTTTGCTTTTGGTGGTAAATTGAATACCTTTCAAAAAGGGCTGCGTTTTTCAAGAAATTCAGTCAATAAATTTTAGAATTTTAGAAGTTTCTCTTCTTCATCGTCTCAATGGTGGCCAAGTGGCCGAGTCGGATCGATGAGCATTTCGGCGATTTTCACAGATTTTCTGGAATTTTCGAAACTTTACATTATCTCTGTGTACAGCAGTTTTTTGTAACAAACTCAGCAATCAATCAACCTGTTTCTAACTCTCTCTTTTTTTTGTTTTTCTTCAACTCGATGGCTGAAATGGGAAATGAGAGATGCCTAAAAGCTGTAGGGCAAAGAGGGACATCACCTCCCATCCAAGTGAGTTTAGTGTGGAACGAGTCTTCTTCGAAACATGCTGTCTAGCATTATCATCTTGAAGTATGAGTTTTCTCTTAGGGTCTTTTCTCTGGCAAAGATTTGGCTGGCTTGTCAAGTTGCTTCGAGTATTTGATTGAGTTGAGGGTTGTCTTGCTATCCAAAAGTCCCCAGTAGATAGGCTCTTCCAAATCCCAGAGCACCGAGAGCATAAACTTCTTCTCATGCACATTTGGCTTGGCGTCGGGTTCGAGTTTTTCCCCTCAGCAACCCGGTGCCTTCTCCAAAAGTTGACAGTTAGAATCCATTATCATCCCTCATCACAATCCGTGATAAAAAAATTTGCGCTCTTATCGAGAAAGATGAGCGGCACTGATTTCTGGCACGTTGCCATTTCTGTGTGTCCATTAAATTATGTGGAATCCAAGTTCCTAAGACGGTTTAAACCCAAATGTATGCAATTTTCAAGTATTATTTTATGATCAACTGTGATAACTATTCTGCTATTTCGCGAAAAGAAAGCCTTTTTTGGGTTGAAAAATTTCGAGCAACTTGGCATTATCCACCTTGAATGCTGGATAATGCCTGCCCTTTATCTTCGAGGATTCATCCCCTGAACGGAATTGAACAAACCAGTTTACACAGCTGATCTATCTACATAAGCGTTCTCAATATTAGCTGAACACTAGAGGCCCTTGTGTCCTTGTAAAAATTCGTACAACATAACGTGTCGTTTTTTAAAGATCTCAAGGTGGTAGTTTTTCATTAGTTAGAAGAAAGTAAAGTAAAATTCCAAAAAGCAAATATGTTGAAAGTGAAAGTCCATTGTTTTCACAAGAGTAAATGTTCACTTTCCTATTTTCCACAAACTCCTCTCCCTCATTTTTGTTTAGATCTATGGGATTTAATTTGAAAAACGTCACAAGTCATATCCGCCAACCCAATACTAACAAGGTTTTACTGTACATTAAAACCTAATCGTCTCACCTTGTCACCCAACTCGCATTGACAAGTGCTGTCTCGACAAGTTCTTTTTCTAAAACCCATCTAAAGAAACGAGAATTCCTTTGAAGCTGATAAAAAGAGTGCCTCCCGAGAGCAACGTCGATGCTCGATCGATTCAACACAAGAATTTCGTAGCTTAGGATTTTGTAGCTTAGACTTTACTAATAAATCTTTTTGTCAAACCGGCAAACAGTAAGCATTGCTTCAGACAACAAAAAAACTTGAACGAATCGAGGCATTCAATGAAAAAAAACAGTACAAAAACGCTGGCTAAACTTCGATAAAATGAGATTTCCTTTGACTTAAAATTTACTTGCAAATCACTTTTTCTAGTGCAAGATTTATTTTTTGTATAATAGTATTTCAACGTGCAAAGTGCTTGGAGGGTTGGAAAATGGAAAAAGTCTTTTTCTTTCATTTTGAACCTTATCGGAAAGTTGGGCGTGGAGAGATTAGGACACAAATCCGTGGAAAAGACTGCCTTTCCTTTTTAAATGCACCGCTTTTGTCAAAATCCTTCATTTTTTTTCGCATGACATTTGTTAGCACTTTATTATGCGATTTTAGGTCTCCTAAAATATCGCCATGATTTTTTCAAAAATTTTAATCAATTGAATTTTTTAGAAAGTAACGTCCGTCTAAGCGAAGTCTAAGCGTTCGTCTAACGAAACGCAAAAATGCCAATCACTGCAAAAGGAGTAAACTCTTCAGCTACAGTTTAGACTTTACCAGCGTTTAGGCGGTTTACATTGTCTTGACTACTATCAGCCTGATAATCGTCGCTTTAGCTGTGGTAGCTGTCGGCACTGTCGTTATTTGGGGCTTGTGAGTTGTTTGGGTACTCAATCAATTTCTCCACTAATTCATAGAGCCGACTGGGGTTGGCTTTGGTTTTGGACTCTGCCAGCGGGGATATTCTGTTGTTTTGCTATCGCTGATTTCATTTTGCTCGCTTTTTCGATCGTTGGAGTCGTCCGAAAGACAAGTGGTAAACTCATTCCGGCGCTCGTTGTGACGGTAACATTCAGCGTGTTTCTCGTTTCATTTTTTTTCAGGCACTGGAAATCGTATTCCACGTGGCAGGGCCGATCGCGTTCATCGTTTACGTTGCAACAAGTTATGACTTTTATGTAGAGTCTTGCGAGTGGGGCCTTTTTGTAATCGGAGAGCTCAGTAATTTAACGTTGTCGGTGAGTTTAGGAAAAGTTTGGTTGTGTTTTAACAAAAGAATGTCAAGTGGGCAAGGTGGTCAAATGGCATAACACTGAAAACAGATTCGGAATCAGTGTGAAATTCTGAGTCGAATGGTATACAATCTGTCAAAAAATTATAGACGCACCCTGTTTGTTGCTAGTTTAGAGCCGGACGTAAGTGCTAGTCCAGTGAAAAGTATTTTTTTAGTTTATTTAATGTAAAAAAAACAACCCATGCAAATTTCAAGTCATTTCACACATCCAAAGTACTTTATCGTACAAAAAACGTTTTATCAGCTGTCAAAAAATTATAGACGCACTTTTATTTTATCAAGAAAAAGTTAACAGAAATAAAAATAACAACACAAACCAAATAAATTAATAATGTGTGGCCCCTCCTTGTTTTAGTCCAACTTCAAAAAGACGTCTCGGCATCGAAGAGACAATGTCATGGAGCGCTGTTGGCTGAAGCCGGTTCCAGGCTACTTGAATGGATTTCTTGAGTTCAGTTACGCTCAAATGTTGCTTGTTTCCGTTGTAGACATCTCGAACAACTGTCCCCCACACATTTTCAATCGGGTTCAAATCGGGGCTGCAAGCGGGCCAAGCGAGAGTGTCGATTTTCGATTTTGTTAGCCAATCTCTTATGGAGCAACTTGCATGAATACTCGCGTTATCGTGCATAAAAGTAAAGTTATTGCCCGGATTGTTGTTCAGATAGACGGCTAGATGTTTGTTCAACAATTGTTGATAGTCAAGCGATGTCATCCGGGTCGAAATAAACTCTAAGCCGACCAGCTCATCGTCTCGAAAGGCTCCCCATACCATACATGATCTACCTCCAAAGATCCTCGTGCTGAAGACCATGCCCGGCTTTCGTGAATCCATCCAATATCCTCGAAAGCCATCAGCACCATCAAAGTTGAACTTCTTTTCGTCACTCCAAATGATCTAAACATAAAGTATATAAGAAATACTAGTAAGCTAACTCCTTCCCATTTGGTCTTCTGATTCTTTTGAGCGAAATCGATATGGGCGGCTTTATGGTCCTTTGTAAGTCGTGGAGCTTGCTTCATGAGTTTGTATTTGAGCATTGAAGATCGTTTGACAACGTTGTGCACAGTTTGGCGAGTGACCGAAAGCTTCATCTCCTAGCGAGCCTCTTCGAGTGATGTCGTCGTGTTGGAAAGACGTCTCGTAATTGCGCATTCGTCTTGATCGGCCAACTTTTTCTTCCGGCCCCGTGTTTCTTTCTTCTTAGGAGTCACTTTGGTCTTGAGATACGTGCGAATACACTTCTCAGAACGTCCGATGCGACGAGCAATGTCCCTGTTTGAGTGACCAAGCGTGTGGAGCACATCGATACGCGTTTTTTCCACTAAGTATTGTTTTCCAAGTGGCATATCTGAAAATGAAAAACATTTATAAACATAACTAATAAGCAAAAAAAATGAGAAAAAACTAACCATTATCGATAGAATAAATCGTAAAATTTAAGTTGCGTCTATAATTTTTTGACAGCTGATAAAACGTTTTTTGTACGATAAAGTACTTTGGATGACTTGAAATTTTGCATGGGTTGTTTTTACATTGAAAAAACTAAAAAAATACTTTTTACTGGACTAGCCCTTATATCCGGCTCTAAACTAGCAACAAACAGGGTGCGTCTATAATTTTTTGACATATTGCATAGTATTTGGCCACCTTGCCCACTTGACCTTCCCTTGTAATTATGAAAACTGCTATAAAATTCTTTAATAAGCTGTGAGATTTTTGATACTGTTTACCGCCTATTTTTAATCTAAATAGCTAGCTAACAAAGTAGTAGTCGGCTTGGATCATAGTTTATGATGAGTCAAAGTCATTTAGATAACTCGCTTCATTTTTGGCCGCTTGGCATACGTTGAAATGAAAGCTCTGAAACGGCTAGGACAAGTTTCGAGTGTCGAAAAGGAGCTTACTGAACAAAACAAACAAAACGAGTCTCTTCAATGGACCTAATTGCTTCATTTGCCAATAAATTAATATTGCTAATCGCTAATCCATACAAAGAGCAAAGTTTTTTTCGTGAGCCAAACATTTGAAGCTTTTTATTAAAGTTGTCCTTCTCAGGTAATGCCATTTTAAAAAGTGCACTTTTGTGGCAAAAGTTCAAGATATTCAATTGTTTGCCGCCCGCCCTGCCCACGCCTTTGACCCCGCCCGCCCGTTGACCCCGCCCCTTGAAAGAGGCGGGTGGGGCGGGTATGTTTCTTTCGAAAGACATATGTAAAATGGAAGGAAAATCCCTTTTTGGGAGGAGTTAGCCTAGGATTTATTAAACAACTTTGTCTTTTACATCATTTTACATATTTCTATCGGAAAAAACAAGGGGCGCGGTCAAAGGGGCGGGCGGGCTTTACACTCTACCCTCAAGCCCGTAAAGTTTTCTTTTTTCAAATTTATCCCTTTTCTATCTCGTGTGCGTGTGTGTTAGAATTGGGTTGTCTTGTAACGTAAAAATAATAGTAAAAAGTTTTTTGTTGACTGTAAATAGCAATCATCCACTCCAACTCTTTTAATTTTGTTTATGGTAATTTGTCAATTTTTAGCTTCCAACAAATTTGAGAAATCTATTTTAAAACTCTACAACTTTTTACTATCAGCAATCCAATTTCCATCCTTTTGTTAAGAAAATTTCCTCATTTCTCAATTTATACTTTCTCATTTCCTTCCCGCTTGGTTCACTAAAAAATGTTGGACAAAATTTTTGACTTTCCTGGCAAAACTGTTGTGGCTCTTTTCTCCTCCGCTCTTTACAAGTATAATTTGTAATAAACTTTTATTATTGCACCTGTTAAATGCTTTTTGTTGTTAAATACTCTCAACTTCTCCTTACACACGCCCAAACAACATTGAAGAAGTCAAAGCGAAGGAAGTCAAAGCCAAGTCAAAGTCGAAGAAAGTCAAATCAAAACGGCGCCTTTGTAAGGACGAGATCACAAGAGAAGTCAATGTGCTAAATGTAATTTGTTATTAGAATAAAAAACACTTTTTCTTAAACATTAGCAAACCACAAACCTTCAAATCCTTTCTGTGGACTCGACCATTCACTTAGCATCATCCCTTTCGAATCGACTGATCGGGTCTGCAAAAGAACGTTTATCGCCGTGAACGTTCTATCTCTCAGTTGAGTGTTCTCAAAATATTCTTTAACTTTTTCAACAGCCACTTCTTTGACTACAAGCTCTTCCGTTAAACAGGGAATCATTTCACCATTCTGATAGTTGTTTGGACGATCAAGGAGTATCAGTGCCTCGCGTTCAACTTTACAATTAAGAAATAAAAAGTGATCGACTAACGTGCTAGATGCCTTTAAGCGTTCAATTTCCTCCATAGGTTTGTTAAAGCTACGATTCACAAGATACCTTTCGAAAAGGCTCAAAAAATGAAAGTAAAGCTCTAAATAGTCAAGACTCTCTTTGCTGGCTTCTTTGTAGTAGAAAACAAGCATTCCGACGGGGAACGGATCGAATTTACGTCCTCTAGTCAGGTAAAACTCCTTGAAAGGCTCGAATCGTTCCAATTGGCGTTTTCTTTGACCACAGAACTCCCGTGGTGGGTTTCGCAGTTGAAAAACGTACCCGGGTATCGGGGAATTCGGGTCAATCCGAGCCTCAAGTAAATTTTTCCGGCTATCCTCTAGCCGAATGTGCTCTTCAACAAAACATTTTCCAATGATCATCATATTTTCCAAGTTTTCCTTTAAAATCTCAATAATCGTCGTCGGTTTCAGTACCTCCATTTGAAGAAAGGGCAACGAGTTTTCCCCTGCTTTCTCATGCACTAGGAATTGATTTTCAAATTCTTTTACTACCGAGAAATCCTCAGTCACGAATTGCCCTAAATTTTCATCAAGTAAAAACCATTTCTGACCAGTTGTCTTCTCCACATAAAACTTCAACCAAATCTCGGATAGAAAAGGCAACATGCGGAGCTCCTCCCAAACTCGAATGGCTTTCGCATTCTCTTGATATCTGCTCCAAGGGTTTAGCGTGGCACACCGATTGCAACCCAAGATGTTGAGAAATTTTTTGAAATGATGAACTTGTAGACAGCGAAAGGCCTGATTTAGTCCTTTACGTCTCGAATTTGAGTCACTTTTGATGAATCCATCCAGCCGAAATTCTTCGTTTCTTCCATAAACATTCGCCATTAATAGAGGGCGATATTTCTTCGGATTCTTCGATATTTCTTTTATTCCAAAAAAATCATCTTTATCTTTCTCTTGTTTGAGCAAACTTTTCAAAATGGCCTTAAAAGGCTCTAAATTTGTTCCGGAGAGAAGCTCAACGAACTGAGGTTCTGGTTTCTCATCACTCTCAGCGGGCAAATAGTCCTGCCGTGTCACCTTATATGGGCAAATCCGCTCCTTTCGCTCAATGTTTGATTGTGGCATAAACTCAAGCATGTTGACAGAATCGAAAATCTGAAACGTTTAATTTGATCGATCGAAAAATGTCATAACTTTACTTGTTTGTTTTCTTTAAGTTCCTTCAGGACTTCTTGACCAGTGGGCCGCGAATTTCGATTGAAATTTGTGCATCTAAAATGAATTTGCTTCCAGTTATAGTATAAAGATTGTTTTCCCGAACGAAGACCTTAATGAACAAACCTCTGGACGGTTACACTAATTGCTTCTTGACAACCCGGTGGCTCCAAAGCGGTAATTCTTTTTAGCGCAATGTCAACAAGAAATAAATCTCGCTGAAATTCATTGCCCGACGTGTATTGCGATAAAACTTTCCTGGAAAGTTAAAGTATAAGAAGATAAGATAGCTGAGTATGACTTTCTTTCGATCATTTCCCAAATGACCAATCCCAAAGAGTAAACATCGTTGCGGTGGGAATCCTGAAATGATACTCAGTTGGTAAAGGAAATACCGTATTTATTCTAATAGCGTCATGCGCTTCTATTTTTCAATCATTCCACAAAATTGCTTCTATTAGAGGTTGTGCTTCTATTTTCAATGACTAAAAAATCGATGAAATAGTTCGTAGAAAGAAAACCTTTAGGTAACAACCAATTAAAAACAATTCAATCGTCAAAAAATCGTTATTCTCGATTTCATTACCGTCCGCCGACTTGAATTGAGATGTCACTATCGTATTCAATGCAAAAAAATGCCAGAAAAGCTACTGATTAAGTAATTATGACAATAATAATCTAAGAAAGAACTAAGCAAGAAAGATTTTTTGCTAAAGGGTTAAATACTAAAATAAAATGTCAAGAAACGACGCAACAATTTTAAAACACAAAAGATAGGTAAATGATCGTATTACATCATCTGGACCACCGTCTAAAACAGAAATTTACTGACGAAACAACGGGCCGCGGTTGAGCCATCAATGCTACAGATTGAAAAAACATGAAATTAAACAAAAAATTAACGAAAAAACAACGACTAGCATATAAAATAATTAATAATCGGTTACTTTTCCTGATCGGTTGATGACTTGAAAAATTCTCTATGCTATGCTAGAGATCCACTTCTGAATGACAGCTGGACTAAAAGAATTCCAGACAACTCAAATCGCGACCTTCATTTCACCAACAGAAGCAAATTGCTGACGATTTACACCTCATAAATTCTTGATCACCTCATAAATTCTTGATCGGGTTTAGGTCGGGCGCGCGGCTTGGCCATTTCATCACATTGACGCCATTCGCTGTCATCCATTGTTTTGTAAAGTTGCTGGAATAAATGGGCGCATTGTCCTGTCGAAAGTGGTAGGCTGTTTGAGGGTTTTGTGTCATAAATGGAAGCGAACTTGTATCCAAAACATTGACGTAGTCTTGGCTGTTCATTTGGTTGGAGATGAAGCGCAAATCGACTAAAGCATCGGCACAGAAAACTGCCCAGCACATGACATTTCCTTCTCGAAAATTTCTTTTACCAGAAAAGATTGGATCTTTCCTTAAATCTCGCCAATAGTGAGTGTAACCGTCGGGTTCATCAGGTCTCCATTTCCTCTCGTCGCTGAAGATAACTTTGGACCAATCTTTTGCCATTAGTGCCTGTGCAAATGCCAATCTGGCATCCTTATGCTCCTGTTTGGTGGTTGCTTCATCAACTTTTCCTGGGTGATCTGAGGCGCTGTTTGAAGAGATCGCCAAATTGTCATTTTGGAAGCATACATTAAGATTGAGCTCTTTTTTGAATTGAGCTCTCGATTTTTCATAAATGCTGTTAGCAATGTGACGGAAATCTCGATCAGAAAGCTTCTTCTGATCTAAGCTGTTCTGATCTCGATCAAAAAGGTTTGTTCGTTTCTTTTTTTCATATTGAGCCAGGTTTTCAAGGTATCTGGCAATCGTTTGTTGAGAAGATTTCACTCTTGTATCAAATTTTCGATTGCGCACTCCTTGAACATGTAGAGGATCAATGTGGCCTTTTTGATAATCGGTTAGCGACCCACCAGGTATCATTTATCTGAAAAAGTGAAATATTACAGTGGTAGAGAAGGAAACTAAGTAAAAAAAACAACAAAGACGAAAAAATCTAATGGTCCATATGAGGTTATACGATCATTTATCTATTTTTTTGGGTTATAAAGTTGTTGCGTCGGTAATCAAGAACAAATCGTTAGTTTTTATACGTTCTTTGACATGTAAAATCATAAAAAGAACAAAAACTTTTCATCAAGATTAAAAGGGTTTAAGAAACTACGTAGTTAGGGGTGATCCAGATGATATGATACGGACTGTATATGCTTATATATGCTTAAAGCTTCAAAACTCAGGGTATTCAGTCTACTAAGCTGAATATCCATAGTCCTTGCTTCGATCGGAGGCTGCGTTTCTATTAGAATAAATACGGTAGTAACGTTTAACTTACTTCCGTGTTTGCGTATAATTGTTCCTGGAAACTCAAATCTTCATTAAACGTCGGGGGGCTTATGTATCGTTCAGTGCTGGTGCCGCAAAAGCTACCCATGCCCGTGGCTTCGCAGTGTTTTGCCATTGTAAAACCTCCAAGCTTTACGCTGTAGTCCTCAGTAATCAAGACACTAAAATAAAATTGTTCAACATCTCTGGAGGAAAATACTTATGTGGTTTTATGTTTCGATGTACGAGATGATGTTTAAGATAAATGTAGGCAAGAGCGTCAAACAGCTGTTCCATCCAAACAACGACCGTCTTCATCGAGTAGACATAGCACGGATCGAATTGAACTGAAATCATCTGAGTTGAGTGGAGCAAAATCGGTTTACACATTCTCATTGTCCCCCTCGAACAAAGCTCCATGATAAGCCCAAACAATCCATTTTCTTTTGTCGGTTCTCGAACGGATAACAGCTGGACAATGTTCGGATGGATGAGCAGTTTGAGTACTTCGCATTCTTCATCAAACCAATAACGAGCGCCCCGATAAAAATACTTTATTATAGCAGGCCTGAAACGAGTCATTTTTAATTTCATTTGTCTGATAACCTACGGTTGATGTCCGATCAGCTCGGCAACAGTCCCAAAGGCGCCACTTCCGATATACTGTTCCGCATAATAGTCGCCTTCCATGCACGAAATTGTCAGACACTTTCCAATGATCTTTACATTAATATTTGATTCTAATTAAAGCATTAAAGCCAACACAAATATTTGATTCGAAACAAAATAGGCTTGATGTAAACATCTGATCGAAATTTTATTCATCGATAACTTTGCAAAGCACAGATAATCAAAGTAAGTGATTGGTTTAAGATACGTGTTTTAAAAAATTGGACAAAACATCTGTCATCATGTCAATGTTTACAGGCTCAAGATGCAAATAAAAGAGCTCATCATGATCTTTAAAGTCTCGAGTTTTTTCTCGCTTGCTATCAACACAGACAAGCTTCCGTCGGATACGCCCATTCACCCAATTTCCGTGAAACTCTTGAACAACTTTTAGATCCTTCCTCGCAAACGTTTTCTGCTTTTCGTCAAGGAGATACCATCGTTGAGCTGTTGAGGACTGGATAAAACATTGAAAATGGATGACTGTTGTGAGACGAGTTCTTTTGAAACCTATTAGCTCACTGATAAGCGCCTCGAATTTTTCCTTGTCACTCAATGGGCAGTTCCTCACTTGTAGAAATTGAAAAGTAGTGCAATATAGCTCCATTTGTGTAAGAAAATCGTTTAAAATGAACATTTTAAAGAGTGGTTCTAACTCGTCTGGCTCCAGAATAACCAGGTTTTCACTCGACTTTTTCCACTGATCTGTGATGGCTTTTCTCTCGTGGTACTTGTAGAAAGACTCCCTTATCATTGCGACTTGTTTCCAAAAAGTCGAAATTTTGGTCATTCTCTCATCATGAGTTAACTCATCCAGCCGTTGCTCCAATTGTGATCCTAGCTCCTTTAAATTCGCGTCCGAAAGCTTCACTGCAGCAATTGATTCGAGAAAACGCGAAAACTTTTCTAGTTCTTTGGAAGTTGGTGGTTTCTGAGTTCGAGCGGCTATTCTCTTGCGCTTCTTATTAAATCCGATCGGTCTCATTGGGTTTTTCAGGCCATGTTCTTCTCTTGGATAAAGCTCAAGAGAGGCCAAAAATCTCCCATCTTCAGTCTCAATATCCCGTATGCTTTTGATTGCTTCTAGACATTCATCGGCGCTCGGGCGTTGAGCCAATTTGAAATGAACACATCTACAATAAAATACTTAAGACAAAAAAACAAAGTCAACCGGCTAACTAGTTGTTGAAATTCTTGCGGGCAGTTCGGCGGCTCAACCTGACTGAACTCTCCAGAGGAAATGTGCACCACAAGGAGGTCCCTACAGAAATGGCCGTTTTTGTCGTACTCGTCAAAGACAACCCTAAATAGGAGATAAAAAATTAGCTTCTGAGCAAAGAAACAAACTTTCGTTCAATGATCTCCCATAACATCAGCCCGACACTGTACACATCATTTCGATGAGATTCCTGTACGAAATTATTAGGCTTTTCAAAACGTCTTTTCGTTCCTTTTCGTACTTCCGTTTAAAAATAACAAATCCACCAATTAACCTATGGTTTTCTCTAAATCAAAAGTGTTGCTTGTTCAATTTCCCATCTTTTTAAGTCAATTTGGGCTCACTTTCAAGCAAATTCGGGAGTGAAAACGTGTGTTTTTGTAAAAATCTTTAAAAACCTCTACGAAGAAAATGGTTGAATCAATTCCTCTGAAAATTTGGTTATTTACCTAACTTTTTGTTCTCTATCTTTTATCTATTGACACCAAGATAGGTTTCCTTAGTTAAAGTGTATAAACCGTATCATCCGGCCGCCGCGCTTCTTGATGACCCGACTTCGCAAAAAAATTCAGACATGACATTTTAAACCCATTTTGCAGAAAATAAACTGGCCTTTCCAATAAAACAAACCGTAGTTCAATTAGTGTATTTGTTGGTTTTAAACAGAAGTACGAAAAGGAAACGAAAAGACTTTCTGGACAGTCCAATATGTAGATCAGTTGCCTGGTTTTTGTCGATAAGCTTAGGGTTAGTGAAAAATTTTAGAGCAAAACTGATCAAACCTCATTTTCTTCCTTGCTGATCACCGGATGGGCATATCGAGTAGATGTGGCCATGGTGGCGGAACCAGTTTGCTCAAGATCCTTCACCAGCCCAAAATCGCCCAACTTCAACGTGTAAGGAACGCCTCTTTTTGAGATACTTTTCACAAAGACACTTAACTATTTAATTAATATTTTATTAAAGATTTTTCTTTACTCACTTGTCAGGCTTCAAATCTCGATGAATTTTACGATGACTTCGGAACAAGTAGCGAAGTGCTTTAAACAGCTGCACTGCCCAACTAACAACCGTTTTCATCGAGTAAACAATTTCGGGATTGGAGACCACTGATTGAAACATTATGATAGTTGGATTTTACTACTTACATGACATCAACGTTCCTCGATCACAATATTCCATAATAATCCCGAGTTTCTCTTGACGTTCAATAGGCACAATGACCTTTTCGAAAACTCTTAGGATGTTACGATGTCTCACCATCTTTAAGGCCTCGTACTCTTTATTGTGATCGCTGACTTCTGCACGTCTGAGCACCTTTACGACTGCAGAACTGGAAACAACTTTTGGTACTGAAACATATTGAGTAAATTTATGCAGAAAGATCTTTGATATGATAATATTATCAAAAAGTGACAAATTCTTATTCGATCCAATATTTCCCAGTCGATTCAATCTTACTGTCAGACTAGCATTCAAAATTTAAAAATCTAGATTTCAATTTGACCTAGCTTTTGCAATCCTATTCTCATCAATAAACAATAAGTGCAAAACAAAGTCTCCGAACAAGTGTTAGGAGTCCTTTGTTGGGACAACGATTTTGTCCTTTTTATATACAGTAGTCCGCATAAGTATTATCCTATGACCTCAAAAAAGCTTTCTCCAAAGAATTTCCGAATAAAATCAAAAGCAATAGGTTTGGATTTTATATCTTCAAAACCCAAAATGCTTCTAGTTTCCCGTGTCAAAATTTCACAAAGCCAACTTTATCCTGAAAAACTTATGCCCAAAAGATCGACAGCGATGGAGAATCGGCTCCACAAAAGTATTGTCATATGCGCATTTTTTTTATTTTTGTCTTTTGTGAAGTTTACTTTTGAAATCATCAATTATTTTTTAGATATTGTTTTAGAAGACAAATCTCTCTACTCCAGATAAAGAGAAGCTGGTTGAGATGCGGAAAAATGGAGTGTCCAAGGAGAAGGCGGGCGAACTCTTCAAGTGCTCAACCCAAACTCAACCCAACCCAACGTTTGGCGGATCTTTGCACAAGGAAAAACCGGTGGAAATCTTCATAGAGGCTCCAAAAGCGGTCGTCCTCCGATTACAACAACGAAGGAAGATCGGGCAGTGGTAAATTTCGTGAAGCAGAATCCAAATCGGAATGCTACTGATGGCAAGAAGTACATGAAGGATCGTTTCGGCAAGGTTGTTTTACCGGATACAATCGGAAGATGCTTGAATCGTGCTGGATTGTAGACAAGGAGGGCTGCGCAAAAACCTCCGACAAAAATCGAGCATCGAAAACAGCGCTTCCAGTTTTTAATGATCCACGCAAGCTGGACCAGAGATCATTGGGGGAAAGTGCTTTTCAGAGATGAGACAAAAATTACTGTATTTCACGCAAACGGCAATCACCTTATCCGGCGACCGATTGGAAAGCGATATTCACTCAAGTACAGTCGCCCGACAGTGAAATTCAATGCAGGAAACATTATGTGTTGGGGTAAAGGTTTGTTTTAATTTCGGTGACTGATTGTTCTTTTCTAGGTGCGATTTCCCGAAATGCAGTAGGTCCGTTAATCCGCGTAGACGCAACGATGAATGCCAACGCTTACAAGACGATCTTGGAGACTCATATGCTTCCTTTGACCACACAAGCGATTCCACAAACGATGGATTCTCTACTGGGACAATGACTCGAAGTACAAGTCGAGGTTCATGATGGGTACGGTAGTCAATCTTCGAAAAGGTGCCCGGGCTCGTTTACCTTGATGGTTTGCGGCGAATCGAGTCAAATTGCTCAATCCACCTCCCTACTCGCCGGATCTCAACCCAATTGAGCATTTCTGGTCTTTTGTGAAGGCTCAAGGGAAAGAAGTTCGACTCCAAAGTGGCCATTTGAATTCACATTCAACGTCTCTGATCGACCATTCCGAAAAATCTTTTGGAGGCTCTGGAGTGAATTCCATGCCAGAGAGTCTTCAAGAAGTGGTGAGAGCAAAGGGACGCTCAATTGTTATTCTATTTGTTATTTGTTTTGTACAAATATTTGTTTATAAACTAGATATTCATAGGTATTCAAAAAGCCAAGAATTTTGTATCGAATTATTGTTTTTATGGAAGAATTTCTAAGTAATATTTTTTTGTAGGGGCAATAGGACGATACTTCTGCGGACCACGGTATAAATAAATTTTTGATCTATAAAAAAGAAAAAAATTTAAGCAAACTCACAGTTTATAATCGATAAGTTTATAAACGTCTCCATATTGTCCATGCCCAAGAGCCGGCATACCTTCAATAGCAAGTTTTCTCGGCGTGTTCATTTTGGTCGAGTGCAAACCAAATCAATGCTGGGAGTTTCTTGTTGGGTGAGGGGGAGAGTCAAAGAGACTTTTTCGCGATTATCAATACGAGCCACACAGAAAAGGAGCAAAAAACACCTGGCAAACAAATGATTGTTAGATAGCCTGTGCCCTCTGCATGAAAAGCACAGTAGATTTGCATGCGATTAGCCAGTATTTTTCTGAATTGTATTACTTGGGTCAAAAGCAAACAAATCCTATTTAGCCGTTTTCGTAACTTTTGTCATTTTCCAGTTAATCATTATTTTCTCCTCTTGTCGCAAATAGTAAAATGTGTTGGCCGCGACGACGAGTGTCGTGCAAACGGAGAGCGGAGCGTATAGTTGGGTCGTTCCTAATCTAATTGAATAGTAAAGAAGTGCTTATCGTTTGCTTTTACAGTGCTGTCCAATTAGAGTGTTTACATCTTAAGTAATATGCTTTATAAAGTGTGGATCTAAAGTCTGGATCTAATCTAAAGTATTTTGAATTAACTTAACCGTTTCTTTAGTTTTCATTACAGTGACTAGTTCTTAAAGATACTACAGGGTGGCTAAAAAATATTGTCGTTTTTCAAGCGCTCATAACTTGCCATGAAATCACTTTAATAACAAATTTATTGAAACAAACAATGTAAAAATAAAAAAACAAACAAAGCAAAAAACATAAATTATAACAAATTTTTTAAATTCCTTCCTTTAGCTTTCACACAGGCCTTCTCAACGGGAAACTACTGAATCAACTGTGTCCCGCAAGTACTTGACATCAAGATTGGGCCAGGCAGCAATCAGTTCCTTCTTAAGTTCAGCGAGATTTGTGATTTTCTTGCTATTCAGACTTTCTTCTAAGCAGCCCCATATCGAAAAATCTAATGGGTTGAGATCCGGCGAATTGCTGGGCCATTCTTTCCTTGAGAGTGAGAGATTCTGAGAGTGAGAGATGTGAGAGATAATCGAAATCCTAAGAAATTCTTGTGTTGAATCGATCGAGCATCGACGTTGTGGGAGGCACTCTTTTTATCAGCTCCAAGTGAATTCTCGTTTCTCTAGAAAAGGTTCTAGAAAAAGAACTTGTCAAGACAGCACTTGTCAATGCGAGTTAGGTGACAGGGTGACACGATCAAGTTAGGTTTTAATGTAAGGAAATAATTTTCCTCATTTCTCCATTTATACTTTCTCATTTCCTTCCCGCTTTGCTAACTAAAAATGTTGGACAAAATTTTTGCTTTTTTTTTTCCTCCCCCCCCCCCCCCCTCCCTTTTTTTTTTTTAAATTTTTTTTTTATTTCCCCTAATTAAATTTTTTTTTTTTTTATATCCCAAAAACCACCCCCCACCCCAAAAAAAAAAAAAAAAAAAAAAAAAAAAAAAAAAAACAAAAAAAAACACCAAAAAAAAGTAAAAAAAAAGCGGCGCCTTTGGGGGGAGAAAACAAAAAAAAAGTTTAGGGTTAAATTAATTTGTTATTAGAATAACACACAGTTTTTCTTAAACATTAGCAAACTAAAAACCTTCAAATCAGTTCCTTTCTGTGGACTCGACCATTCACTTAGCATCATCCCTTTCGAGTCGACTGATCGGGTCTGCAAAAGAACGTTTATCGCCGTGAACGTTCTATCTCTCAGTGGAGTGTCCTCAAAATATTCTTTAACTTTTTCAACAGCCACTTCTTTGACTACAAGCTCTTCCGTTAAACAGGGAATCGTTTCACCATTCTGGTAGTTGTTTGGATGCTAAATTTGAGCTGGTGGCCGAGTGGATAGGAGGCTCGGATACGAGATGACCTATGCCTTTTTGCCGTAGGTTCGACTTCCCTTGAGGATCTTCCTTTTACTGTTTTTTTTGTTTAATGCTTCATTTGTTCAATTCTAACTCCAGCTCCATATTGCTTTTCATCGGAAGTTATTTCTAAAAGCATGCATGCAAAAACGTGGAACAAGCATGCACTCATTGTCCCAATTTTTAAAAAAATTTTTATTGTTTCTATCGTTTTTTAGGCTAGTAAGATTTACCTATATAAATTTACGATTCTCTAAGAATTTAAATGCTATAAAAAGAATTTTTAGGTCGAGTTCAAAAGGAAAATCGTCAAGGGGAGTGGAACCTACGGTAAAAAATGCATAGGTCACGTTGTATTCGAGCCTCCTGTCTGCTCGGCCACCAGCTCACATTTAGGTGGCGGGAAAGATACCTTTTATACGTCTTCGTCCAGTCAACCATGAATGCTCGCCAGTATATGGAAATACTAGAAGGATGTCTACCTCCATTTGCTCAGGATCACATGGCACCTGGATGGTTTCTCTATTAGGACAATTCGCCGGTTCACAAGAGCAAGCTCATGATGGGTCGCACGGTGAATCTCTTAAATGGAGGAAAAGCTCATCTCCCTGGATGGTTTGCCCTTAATAATGTTTTGTTGATCAATGTGCCCCTATGTCGCCTGATTTCAACGTTATTGAGAATTTATGGGCTTACGTGAAGGCAAAGTTACGAGGAAAAGGCTTTCACACAAAAGTTGACTTATGGTTCTACATACGAAAAGTTTGGAGCTTAATTCGACCAGCAATTCTTCACGAATTAGTCGACTCAATGCCTAAACGACTCAATGAAGTGATTTTGGCGAAAGGTAGACCGATTGAATATTAATTTTTAATCTTTCTGTATAATGTTGCAAGACTTTTGCACCCAGTTTTTAGGGTATTTTTTATTAGTTTTGTCATTTACTTTTTTTTACGCTGAACTTCAAATTTGTTTTTGTAAATAAAGTGCACATGTATTATTCTAATTAAAAACAAAAACCCCCTACGAACGGGTGGCATTTTCTATAGAAAAATTTCATCGATTTTTTTGAAAAAGTGATGTTGCAAGACTTTTGTAGTAGTATTTTGCTCAGGGGTTTTTACGGTATTGTAGTAGTATTTTGCTCAGGGGTTTTTACGGTGTTATCTCTGCTGTAATTTTTCGTTTAGGGGAGATGTCGGACAAACCGGAGAGCAGCAAGACTCGACTCGAAGAGTAAAGAGAATGACCTTAAACAGTGAAATTTTCAAATTTAGGGATATCATCGAACCATTGTTCCAAAAGGATTTCTTGTCACAGTTGCCAGAGGAGGTTTGTCTTTTGTTAAAACTTTTGGGATTAATTGTTTATTTTTAGATTGCTTATCGCATCATCGCCTATTTGACACCGTGCGATTTGACGGTTTGTGCTGGCGTTTTGCGGACGTGGCAGCGACTTTGTGAAGATGATCGGATGTGGCGACCGAAATGTTTGGAGAAAGGATATGTGAAATTTGATGCGCCAAGGTGTGTTTCAGTTTTGAGCAAATAATATAACATTTAAAAATACATATCTGATTTTTTTTTTTTTTTTTTTTTTTTTTTTTAAAAAAATTTTTTTTTTTTTTTTTTTTTTTTTTTAATTATTTCTTTTCTTTTTTTTTTTTTTTTTTTTTTTTTTTAAAAAAAAAATATATTTTTTTAAAAATTTTATTATAAAAATAAAAAAAAAAATTTTTATTTTTTTTTTTTTTTTTTTTTAAAATTTATAAATATTTATTTTTTTTTTTTTTTTTTTTTTAATTAATTTTTTATTTGGGTAGATATGTGTTTCAAAGTTATAGCCTAAGCAAAGTTAAATTTTAGGTTTGGTGTGTGCAATTTGATGGAAATCGGGTTGTGTCTGGTGCCTATGATTTTACTGTAAAGGTTTGTAAGGCTTTTTGGTTCAATTGCATAATATTCCATAAGGTTTGGAATGTACACACGGAGAAGTGTTTGCACACGCTGACGGATCCCACGTATCCAGTCTATTCACTTTTGGTGAGTTGAATTGTCAATTTTTGGCTTTAATCAGGTTTTTGTTTTAGTTTGAGCCAGAGCGCGATCTTGTCGTCTCTGGAAGTTGATACAACGATTCGCGTTTGGGATGTGCGAAGAGGAAGTGGGTTTTACATGTTCGTTATTTTGTTGCAATCTCCTGTATATTTGTTTCTTTCAGCATGCGTCGCGGTTCTTGTCAGTCATGAACTCCGCCCTGACATGCAGCTTAGCGGAAGTATTTTGGTCTCCTGCTATACCGACTCGGTCGTTGCGGTATGTTTAATCAATCCTATGACAACTACTTCCTTTTCTTTAGGTTTGGGACATTCGCGACGGTGGCTCGTGCACTCATCGCTTACAAGGCGTAAATGGTCACACGTCGAACATCACTTCATTGCAATGGCTCGACTCGGGACTTTTGGTGACAAGTTCTTGTGATGGGTCGGTCAAGCTGTGGGATGTGGATAAAGGTATGTTGTTTTAAATTACCTAGTAATGTAGGCTATAAGATAAGCAAATTTGTCCAGACTTCAAGTTTTCTTCTAAAGTAGAATTTATTAATTACATAATTTGGCTCGTAAACTATTCAAGTTTAAATCTATGTTCAGGGTTGTTAATTTTTTTATCAACTATACGAGAATTTTTGTGATTTTCAGGTATCTTTGTTCGTGACCTCGTTCGTCTTCAGGCAGGCAGTTGGATTTGGCGTCTCTTCGCGAACGAAACATTTCTTATATGTGCAATTGGATCGCGAGACAGAACCGAGAACATAAGGCTCATCCTGATTGATTTTCACGCATCGTATCCATAGGTATATTCGAATTGTTGCTCTTTTGCATTATCGTGATTTTCTGAAGAATTTTTTTTCGGTTTTCAATTCTTCTGAGTTTTCATGGCTCTCTCTCAGTTAGCGTTTGTGATTTCCTTTCAAATATTTGCCACGTTTTGCACACTTTCTTGAATGCCAAAGTTTTCATTTTATTAGCCTTGATTTTGCCATTGACCTGTTTTTATTTATTAAAAATTATTCTCATAACAACAATCTTTCCTTTTTCTTTCAAGAGTTCCCTTGTGTGATTGTTTTGTGTTTGTGTTGCTTTAAGTTGTGTAAGTCGTTTTCGTTACACAATTTATAGATGCAAGATAAATGACTTAAATTTGCTCACAAATAAAAAGAAACGGTATACTTCTTTAGAGTTACGTGTAACAAAATGTTAGGTTTGGTTACTTAAAATGTGTGAGTAATCAAATGTTGAAAAGTACGTTTTATGCTCTCACTCCAAAAAGTTTCATTTCATTCAACTTTTCTCCGTTCGAATCCACAAAATCTCATTGTTTCGTGACTTAAGGGTGGGTTCGGGTAGTGAATCGGTTTACTAACGCTGCTAACAATAATAACCGGAATGAAATTTTCGTTTAAAAATTATATCCACAGAATTTGTAACCAAAATACGACTTGACCAAGCTATTCAGTTTAGCTAGATCACAAAATAGAAAACGCAAAGTCCACAAAATCCTACTGCACATTTGAACAAGGTAGGCCTAAACCAGAGTTTTTGTGGGAGTGAAAATTTTCATCCGTCAAACCCTATATAGGGTTCATCGAAGGGGTTGGTCAGTTGACTTCAGTTACTTTTTTGGCCAATATCAGTTGCTTCTACAATTTAGTTAGATTTAAACCAGTGAGATATAGTTCTTGAATCCTTTAGCTTGAGCCGAAACAGCCGAAACAGAACCTTCCTCCGTTTTTACTTGACTCATTTTTGATTACAACTTGTAATTTTTCTTTAGATATCGAAAGATACATTACGTTATGATCAATGCCATGGAGAAGATCGGAATCTTCTGAATCATTATGCGATTTTTTTCAAATTGGTATCAGCTAGACACTTATATACTTTCATATTGTATTTGATTTTTACAAATTTTTACAAATTTAACAATATTTTCAGGTACAAAATGCAAGACGAAAAGTTTCGACTTCGCGCCGCTTTGTGGTATGATTTTAAATAAGGGAAATCGACGAGCTTGGTTGGAAACTTCTGCCCCACGCACCTTATAGTCCGGATCTGACCCCATCAGATTATTTTTTGTTTCGGTCGTTGAAGAGTTTTCTTATGGGAGAAAAGTTCGAGAATCATGCACAGATCAAAAAAAGCAGTCGGCTCTTATTTTGGCTCGAAAACTCCCCATTTTTTTTGAGGATGGGATCAAGGATTTGCGACAAAGATGGGAACAAGTCATCAAGAATAATTGAGAATATCTCATTGATTGATGTGCGTTTAATAATAATAATAATACTTTATTCAAACGATAAAGTGAAAGAAATCATAGAGAAATGCACAGTGATACTTAATCATACAATACATACTGAAATCAATAAGCCAATTACTTACGGCAAAGAGCCACTAGATCTAAAGCATCGATACGTTCCTTGAATATGAAAAGCGACTGAATTTCTCGTATGTCGTTTGGGAGCAAGTTCCATAATCTAGCGGCTCTAACGGGAAATGAATTTGATAAAGAGGCATTGGAAGCAAAGGGAATTTGCAAAAGGAATGAGCCACTTCTGGGCCCTGACCGCGGTTTAAATTTGAAAAAGTCTATAAACAAAGGGCTAATCTGTTTACAACGGAGGATTTTGAAAGTTTTTGTTTTTTGTTTATGTTTTTAGCAATAAAAGTTTTGTGACAAAAACCGACATTACTTTTTCCTCAACCTAATAGAAAGCTTAAGAATAAGCCAAAAAGTCATCATGATGAATCATCTTAAAATAGGTATTATTTATGTAGATACAAAAATACTTTGTTTAAAATAAATCGAAAACACGAAACCATACGTTTAATTTGAACAATGTCCACACTTGGTTTTTTTCTTTATATGACAGTCTCTTCTGACGTTCCAATAATTTCGCGCCCTCTCTTGCTAAGTCGTCTGCCTGAAATTAACCAAATTAATCAAATCAAATAGAGATTTAGCTATAAAATTAATTTAAGAATAACATTAAATACGGGATTACCTTCTCATTTCCATAATGGCCGATATCACTTTGAACCCATTTGAAAGTAAGGTCTGTAAAGTGCTGTGCGAGATAATTTAAGTTGATGAAACTAAACGTGAAATATGACGAAATACAAATGCAAAAACAAACTCAGCCATATTCGTTTCAAGGTCGACATATTTTGGAATCGGCTCCGATTGCAGTTTTTTCAAAATTTGAAGCAAAGTGGCGCAATCGGTGTATAGGGTTATTGGCGACTCTCTAAAATATCAAAAGATTTTTTCCATAGAAACTTACCGACGAATATTATTATAAAAATGAAAAATACTTACTCGTAATTCTTCAAAAGCAAGTAACGAAGTGATACTATGGCTGCTTGAAGCTCCGCCAGATTTGAGTCGTATTTGGGGTTATAATCGTTGGTATTCAAGGTACTAAATTTAAGAAAATTTTAAATTTTTATTAGCTAACTTTTACAAGCTAATCAACAATAACCAATATCTATTTTACAAGAGAAACTCACATTTTCTGTAACCATTCAAAGTATTTTTTCCAGCTGTAATGTTCGTTAAGATAAAAAAAACTTACAGCTCAAGAGCCAATGGTGGATCACCGCCATTTGTGGGATCAATATACGCACCAATCCCACTTTTATTAGTATCAGGATCACAATTTCCATCCGTAAAGAGAATGAGATCTGAACTAAAACTGAACCAAATCTGATCCAAATCTGAACCAAAACTTGAATGTGCTCAGTTCGCAAAATGAAACTCGCTAAGAATGATTTTCTGTGTGATTTCTTTACATCTTATTTGTACTTGTTAGTATGTCAGAACCTTTTTCTACTCCGCTTTCGTCTAGGAAATAAAATCCAAAAGTTTATTTCAAAGTGTAGAATTTTCAAAAACAAAATTAAACAAGAAAAGTCACAGAAAAGCGTTATCAGTTTCTAAGGGCACAATACAAGAAAAGCGCCGTGTCAAAATGATCCTCGGCTTTCATCGTGATCAGAGTCGGTTTCCACACCTCCCAAGCCGCGGCGTTATCCAAAAGAGGCAATGAGTTGTCTTCGCCGTGATCGGCTTGCCTAAAAAGGAAAAGATGACACTTGCGGTAGATTACTACACTATCAGCAGTCATCTCGCGCTTGGACTCCTACAAAGCACACAAACCTATGTAGACTTTAATAACAAACTCTGCATTATATAGGATGACTGCGAATTATAGCGACTCACTTCTGAGGATCTAGCTCAGTGAGAACTCAATGAATCTGTAGGAAATTTTTGGAGGTGATTTTTGAGTATTTCTCCTGCAGCTAAGCCCATCGTCTAATTGTTTTGTGCATCTAGAATCTTAAACCTGATCATATTCATTAAATAACTTCAAAAACGGCTCTCAAAAACCTTGAATTGGGTTTTTTTGCCAAGTGTACCGCGACTCTGAACTTTCTACGGTCATATAAAGATTCTAGAAGCACCAATCAGTTAGAAAATGGGCTTGGCTACAGGTGGCATACTCAAAAATCACTTCCAAAAATTTCATACGGATTTATTGAGTTCTCGCCGAGCTAGACCTTCAGAAGACCCTATAATTCGCGGTCACCGTGTAGCAAGCCTATTTTAATCCATGTTCGAATCTTTTATGGACGCTTGCATTAACAGAAAGTCTGCATGGGACAGAAAGTTTGCCTTTGGGTGTTTAGAAGAGTTTGTGTGTGTCTGCATGAAAGTTTTCAAGAATAAAAACCCCACTCTTGCTCATCGAGCTTCTCGTAGCTGTAAGAAATTCGTCCCTTTTTGTCGTTTTCGTTCAAAGATTTCTTTCTGAAAAGTATTGTTGAATTTTTGATTGAATTTTTCTCAATGAGCCTGTAAAAATTCAAATACTATCTCTGAATGAATTCGTACAATTTTGTCTTGATAACCTACCCAACTTCGGCTTGATCGGCTTGTCGATTGTAATCGTACGAGATTCGGCCTTTTTTGTCGTTGGTTTGAGCTTTTTTCTAAAGACAATCCATAGTTCAAACTATCACTGACATCAGAGTTGTGTTTTGTGAAATCAAACCGGATCAATCCTTATAGATTGTTTCAAGTTCAAACCCACTTGGTTCATTTGTTGTGCGTAGTCAAACTTGACTCCATCTCTCGCGGAGGGTTTCACTGCCCTGGAAATCCTGTCTACTTTTACCGAGTAGAAATTCACTTTTACGTTCGAGAAAAAAGGAAGTATAGCTCATTCGTTACATTTATGTAAAAATTTTCTTTTTCCCGTCATTAACAGCCCCAACATTTAGCAGGTGTTGCAAAAATTTTCTTGCGTGCAAAAAGACCCACTCTTGCTCGTCGAGCTTCTCGTAGTTGTAAGAAATTCGTCCCTTTTTGTCGTTTTCGCTCAAAGACTTCTTTCTGAAAAGTATCGTTGTATGTCTGATTGATTTTTTTCTCAGTGAGCCTGTAAAAATTCAAAAACTATCTCTGAATTCGTACAACTTTCGCTTGATAACCTACCCAACTGGCACTTGTGCATCGGCCTGACGATTGTAATCGTACGAGATTCGACCCTTTTTGTCGTTGGTGTTTGAAGTTCCCCAACTGAAAGGAAAATCGTATAGATTTTTTTTAATAACTTAAAGGCAACTGTGAAACAAGCATGTTTGTTTTATTATCTAATCAAAGAAAGCCACCTTTTGAGTTTCTCATAATCGAATTTGACTTTTCTGTTTCGCGGATCGCCATTCTCCTGTAATTACATACAGCCATCGCTTAGTTGTTTATGGCTATTTTATACAAAATGAAAGACTGATAAATTAACTAAAGTGTTCGGCTAGAGACTGGATTGTTTTATGTAATGTCGTTCTAACTGGAGAGGCAAAAATTTACAATTCCATCAGTTACAATTTACAATGTTTTATCAGATTTTATCAAAGGTGCCTTACCTGGATCGTCTCGATTGGTTCAGCACGGAGGGCTTGCGCAACAAAGCCGAGCATTTTCATCACTCCATTATTCTCGACATCGTTTGCACATCGACAAACGTCGCCTGATGGGGGATTTTGTTGAACCTTTTGGTATTGATGAAGGGTCATCGACCAGGCCTCTTCCATGTGGAACGCGTGAACGAGCTTCTCGAGTGGGCTGAACCCTTTGAGAGCCCACGTTGGATCGTCCATTTGTGAGAGAATCTTAAAAACCTTGATAACTCAGATGAATCTGTTGATTGAGATTTCGAGATCAGTTGTTTAAGTACTAAAGACGAAAGTTTTTTTAAACTTTAAACTTCTAATACTAGGTTTTTGAGCCTTCAGATTTATTTAAGTAAAAATTATACCGTAAATACTGTAATAGAAGTCCCCTCTAGAGTGGAAGGGGAAAAAAATAGTAGCCCTCCTCTAATAGAAGCCCCCTTTAATAGAATAAATTAAAAATAAAGCTATAAAATTAGAAAAAGATTGATTTATGAAAGCTGTTCAACAACTTTCACTTAAGGTGCCATTAATTTTGAGCGACCTTAAGTTTTCTTTTTTATTTCTTTTAGAAACCATTCAAAATGAGCTATTTATGCATATTAATGAGAAATCTAAATTTTATTTTTAATCATATTCCTCTGTGCATTTTGTTTTATATGACAAAACAGAAAAGCTTGAGGGAGGTCATTACCTTTGCGCGGCACTGTATCTGTCAGTATATCCAATTTTGGTAACTTGAAATTTTTTAAAAGATACCAGGTGAAAAATGGAAGCCCTCTCTGGAGGCGGAGAGAAAAAAAATAGAAGCCCCGGAGCTTCTATTACAGTATTTACGGTAGTGACTTGACAACTGACAACCTTTGAAACGGTGGACGGTTTTTGTAGAAAAATCAGGTGAATGCTTAATAAACTTCAGCTCAGAAATTGCAACCAAATATGCTGGTCCACTTATTGAAGTTTGTATTTGTTGTTCAGTAAATCGATGATGCATACCTCATCAAAAGTCTTCATTCCGTCCGAATGGAAGAGCGCATCGCTGGGGCCGCGTCGATCGGGTGCATACGAGAGGAGCACGGTCTCCGAGGAAAGGTTCAGATTCACCGTCGGAACGCGATTCTTCACGCTCACCGACGGGTCAAATTTCCTGAGGGCACGTACGGTGATTGAGTGAATCGCGTGGCCGACGTTGGTGCCAAATTTATCGGTGGCCCCTGCCGACTTTAGCGTCACTCCACATTGCGTTGAGTCACTTTGAAGCGGTGATGAATGGGCAACGTGAAGCAGCACGCCTATAACAGATAGAGTATTGGATACAGGGATGCGCATATAGTGTTGCGCCTAACGCATCTTTTGGCTTTCTAAGAAAATCTCTCAGCCCATCTTTTTGGCCTTAGCCTAAACACCAATTAATCATAAAATCTACGCGTAATATTACATAGAATAGAAGAACCGTAGGATTTTTTAATGACTTTAACAACCCCAGTCGAGCAATACAAAAAATGCTATACGGTACAATGCTGAAAAATCTTTTGGCCATCATCGCCAAAAGATACGCAGGATCGAGTTCAACCCAAGCTTTCTGGAGGGATTTTTTTCAGTGAATCAATGCTTGAATGTGCTTTTGAGCAGGTCTTTGCTTCGAGAACGCTTCAGACTAAGTAATCCATTAGATTTAAATCGGAACTTAATGGTGACCACTGCTGATAGCTGAGGAAATCCGGGAAGTTTCATTCACACCAGTCTTGGACAATTCGGGCTTTTGGGGCAGTCGCAGGCGGGCTTTTTTGATAGTCAAAATTTGCAAAATAAACAAAAAATAGCAAATATAGTCAACCCAACAGCGCACAAGAGCAAAGTGCGGCAAACGGAGGTTGATTCGGGTCATTTTGGGGCACCCTGTATTAGACAGGATTTTTTGACAAAATCAGATTGGATCGGATCGGATGGTTCAAATCGGAGGGGACTAGCCTGATCGGTTGAACGAATCGGATCGGATCGGGCGAGCCCGGTCGGTCGGACCTATCGGATTAGATCGGTCCTGATCCGATCCGATCCGATCCGATCCGATCCGATCCGTTCCGATAACCATGTCTACCCTGTATGTCGCACCCTGTACAGTGCGTCAATCGCGACTTAAACGGTGCCTCTAAAGAATACAGCGAATAAAAGCTACCGCAATCGTCGTAACCGCTTCCGTAGCTTACAACTTGAATGCAAACCTTACAAAACAAATTACCTATGTCGATGTTAAGTATTTAGGTCTACTATCGATGAGCGAACAACTCAATCAAAGTAGTAAAACTAAGAATTCTAATACTTACCCAATAGGTAAAGTGTCAGCGCTTGGCAAATCCTTGTGTTCATCCTTGAATTAGAGCACATTGAGAACTCCTTTTCATAAAGCCTTTAAATAGTGCTCATGTTTATTTTTCAACGTCATTTTTGATAAGAGATAGTGGTTTTTATTGGACAAAGAGAAAAAAAGGTTGTTGTTTTTTTCAAAATCGCTAAAATTTAGGTTAATTTTTGAGTTGTTTATTTTGACGGATTCTCTTCTTGAATCATGAAACAAATGCTGAACCCACACTTTTTTTTGTGTTCTTCCGATAACGTTGTTTGGAAGGCAAAAATAAAAGCCCTCTTTTGAATACAAACTTGAGAATGATATCTTTTTTTTTTGTTCTTTTGGTAATACTTTGAAACGTTTAAGATGAACAAATCTTTGCTTAGAGTTTCAAGCCTTCAACTCATGAAATCATTGAAGCGATCGGTTGAAACTCTAGCATAGATTACAAAAGTTTTTCAAGTCAACTAGAGTGGTGAATGTATTGAAAAAATGTACTTTTCCGCTTTTCCGTTTTCCGCCAAAAAGTTTGCTAAGCTTGCTCTAGACTGAATTTTAAATGACTCTTCCTATTTGTTCGATAATGACATTGATGCAATTGTTGCTTCTATCAACAGCTATGACTATGACCATTAAATTGCTTCAAAAAGCTTAAGATCGTGAACATAAAACTATCAAAGTTCGAGTTGCGAGGGGTGAAAAAAAGTATTTTGGTACCTTTAACTTTAACCTTGGTTCTAAGTCAATATGTGCCCAAAAGTGAGTACTATCAGTACTATCAGTTTTTTCCCCGATTTCAACTAAATCCCTTAGCAAGTTGAATAAAAATTACACTGGCGCCTCACCTAGCTGACCACACCTAGTAATGAAAAACACCGTAACCCAAAACTTTTTCAACCAACGGAACCTGGTTCTGATGGTCTTAATCGCTTGAGAGTACTAGGCTAGTAAATATTTAAAATGAAGCTTTCACGAAAAAAGAATTGAAGGGGTCTGAAGTAAAACCGATTCTCACTAAAGCCAAATTATCGGCAGTATAATTTTTTGATGGAGTTTCATGTAGAAATGACTAAAAGAAAACGGTTTATCCGCGTGCCCATCCGGCTTTGGAGTTGGAATTGGCATTTGCTCCTTGCTGAGCCATTGTCTTTTTCGAGAAGTGTTATCGAAGTGAATCCACTTCTCGTCTCAAAAAGATATTCTCAGAAAAAATGGCTTCTTTTCGACTTGAGAAGCAAGATATCACTGATCGAACTCTACTATATGGTCTAATCGCTGCTAACGATCGCTGCTAACCATCGCTGCTGATGTCCATGTGATTTGTCTTCAAGAGATTAAATACCTTCTCGGGATCGGGCAAACCGAAGCTGGCATGATCTTTTGGTCATAACTTGTTCTCCAAAAGTGAAACAGAGATCACGATGTAATTCGGCAGGGTTTTTGCCCATCTTGACACGCGCGCACAACATACTTTTGATTCACCATGATCTAAAGCAAATATCAATTAAAAAGTAAAAGCTCTGACTTAGAAAAAGCGTAAAAATCAAGTAAATATCCAAGCGTATAAATATACAAAAGAGACTCAAATAAGATTTCCAGATTTTAAAAAATAGAATATTTTATACCGAGCAAAATTTCTTTTGCATCAACCTAGTTTTATTTAGGTTGAGTAAACTCTTAAAAATCAAGCACCCGATTTCCACATCCACGATCATTTCCGAAGATTGAGTTAAACAGGCTAAATTATTTGGTTGATGCATGAGTCTTTAGTAAATGTCTGACCCATAATTTCTTAAAAAATAAACTATATATTTATTTAAAATAGCCACCATTATTAAGTATAACTTGTTGCCATTTATTGGGCAAAACGATTTATAGATTTTCTGGAAAAATAATCTTTTGAATTGGGGCACTTTTTGAGTTATATTTTAAATATGATTTTGTAGAGAAATAAGTGATCTTCCTAATGATACTACTATTGCCATTTGATAAAGATTACTCGATGTTATAGAAGTTTCTTTGAAAGTCGGCGCTGTTTCATACTCCCCAACTCAATAAAAAGGAGCATTGGTTCAAGATATCAAAGAATTCCGAAAGGGGGAATTGAATGGTTGTCATGGTGGGTAGAAAGTGATTTTTCGCAGATCTCGGCTGTCCAGTTGGAATCTAATAAGCGTGAGATAGTTTATGACAACCATTCAATTAAAATAGAGGTGACGAGAGAACATTCTTTAATCATTATTTACAAAAGAGACTCAAATAAGCTTTCCAGATTAAAAAAATAGAACATTTTATACCAAGCGAAATTTCTTTAGCATCTTTTGTATATCTAATATCTGTATTTCTAAAATATCACTCAAAATAGACTGTATCCCTTTAGTTTTCAATAAATAATATTTATTCAAGAATATTTTCAAAAGAAGGGATCTAAATCTTCGAATCATATGGCACTAACCTTGAAATGTGGAAAAATAAGAAAAAAAACAACAATCAATGATAAAAATCCCGTTAAGCAAAGGCACTAGTTGTGAAATGAGCAACAAAAATGGCACTAAAATGATCAAAACGAGGCAAGAAAATGTGATAAATTGGAGGTATTTGAGTTGAACTTGAGGGGAAATTCTTATGGTTCAACTTTGATCGGAATTGTCGGTGTTGCGGCAAGAGTTGTGATGACATTGTTGGCCGAGGCATCTTGAAGAATCAACTCTTGCATCAAAGCGTCAACGTTGGCCACACCGAACACTGCCGCCAGTTGCACGTCCTCGATCTGGAAGATTTTGATGAAAAGTAGACAGCAGAGATTGTTAGATTGGAGCTTTGATAGTCGAGAACAGGCTCTAAGCACTCTAAGCAGCCCTAGTTTGCACCCTAAGCAGTCCCAGACCTGTCCAGGCTATTGCAAAGAGCTAGGCCAGAGCTATTGCAGAAGGAAAGCCCAGGCCTGGTGAGTCCAAGAAATTTTTGGGTATGTCTACAGTAGTGGTCTAGATTGGCCTTGGCTCTACTTCTTGGAATATCTCTATGACCTGAATTCTTTCTTTCTTTCTTTTTCCCTCTTGTCTTTCCCTTTTTCTCTTGATAAGTTAAGGTACCGGATAGCTCAGTGTTTAGAGCAATTGCCCGAAAGTTCAGTCCTCGAGGGTTGAGGGTCAAGGGTTTTCGTAAATCTTCGTAAATCTGCTTTTTCTTGCCATTTCCTTCACTTCTTTTTACATTGTTGATCCTAACTCTGGACCCAACCGAGCTCTAGGATCTGTAAGCCAAGCCAAGTCAATCCAAGTCTAGTCAGAAGTCAGCATAGCTTCTAGCTCATTATCAGAAGCTACTTCTGGCCTGACCTTGCCGTGCCTAATCGTGCTGTGTCTACGTCTTTGTAGCAACTCTAGCCCTTGAAAATATAGCTACCTATGCACCAGAAATGATCAGTAAAGTGTTTGTTAAAGTAGAAGTTATACTTCAGTTGTTCCAATGCTAGCCATTCTAGTCCTTTAGCCAGTCTAGTCCTTTGACTTTGTCATAGGACACATAGAGTTGGTTCTTTTATGGGTTAGGGCTGGGAATACAAAGAATTGTCGGCGCCGGGTTTCGAACCGCGACCTCTCGACTCGACTCCTCGCTTACCGGGCGAACGCTCTACCAAGGAGCTACACCACACGTACCCGATTGCCTTATGCATTATGCATTAGGGTAGGGCCTTATGCTTTACTATAGAGATTAAGCTAGAGGTCAGGTCAGGTCTGGTTATTGACTTTGAAACCCCTTGCTACTCACCAATTGTTGAGCGATCGCTTGTAATGGGGGCAATAAGAGGAGAAGTCTCCCCAATCGACACCTCGATCCGCCTCGCATTGCTATCTCCTCGATTCGTGCGCATCTGAAAATTTGACTTTTAGAATGAAAGCTGATTACAGTAATCCTCTTGTCTTTTTTCTTTTACCTTTTCTCAAGTGCCGCCAAGCACTCCAATCTTGCCCCATCGACTCTCTCGTAGTCAGTCACATCGTGGGATACTGTAACTAAATAGTGGATAAAGAGTTTCTCGGCAATTGGATACTCAAAATACTGTACTAGATTTGATCTTTGAAGTGTAGCAATAAGTTTTCGGCAAATTACCAGGGTTGAAAAAAACGATGGCTTTCAGTGCGACATAGTCGGGCAACTCGATGGAAAGACGCCGAATCGGGACAACCAATTCGTCGAGGATCCGTCGGACAACACAGCTAAATGGATTTTAAATTTGATATAGATGTAGATATTGTTAGATGTATAGTGCTAGTTAGTCTGCTCTAGTGTTAGATACGTATTACAACACAAACAATTAGACACTTTCACTCACTTAATATCCCCGACAAGGGCTGCGTGCTCCCGGGAGATCAACGCGTCGTTGGCCAGACAGATTGTATCCTAAAATTTTGCTATAAAATACTGAATGGGTTTTGGGGAAATTTGACAAGAGAACAACATTATGAGAGTTGATTTTGAGTAGAGTTAATTGGTCCTCATGATCTTTTCTTGGACTTTTCTGTTTTAGTGAAGGTGACGGTAGTTCGAGTCCTCGGGTTCGAGTCCTCGGGTTCGAGTCCTCGGGTTCGAGTCCTCGGGTTCGAGTCCTCGGGTTCGAGTCCTCGGGTTCGAGTCCTCGGGTTCGAGTCCTCGGGTTCGAGTCCTCGGGTTCGAGTCCTCGGGTTCGAGTCCTCGGGTTCGAGTCCTCGGGTTCGAGTCCTCGGGTTCGAGTCCTCGGGTTCGAGTCCTCGGGTTCGAGTCCTCGGGTTCGAGTCCTCGGGTTCGAGTCCTCGGGTTCGAGTCCTCGGGTTCGAGTCCTCGGGTTCGAGTCCTCGGGTTCGAGTCCTCGGGTTCGAGTCCTCGGGTTCGAGTCCTCTGATTAATGGAGGAGTCCTCATGATTTCTTGGACAGAAACGGAGCCTTCTGCCAAGAGTTATAAGCGTTAGGAGTTTTGTATGGGTTTCAAAAATCACACCCGGAGTAATAAGCAGATTTCCCAGAGGCTTTAAGAAGCAATGGTAGCCGAATGGCAGTGGGTTGGAATACAAGGCAAAAACTCTCTAGTTCGAGTCCGCCATTTTACTTTTTTCTTGTGCTTCAATTATATATATCCAAGTATCAGTCTTACAGTAATATGTTTCGAAAAAGATTCCCCACCTCCATACTGACACTCCGATAAGCGACACCGAGGACGATGATCTGTGTGGCGTTCGCTTTGAGGAGACAGGCCTAAACGTTAAAAATATAGCAGTTTTTAAATCTAGATTAAAAACTGTTATATTTGTTAAATTTAACAAAGTTCCGTTTTGCGTAAACTTTTGACTCACTAAACGTAAACTCACTTGATCCATTAGGGTGAGCGATTGGAATTGCGGGAGACTTTTCGCCCATTCAACCAATAATAACAATTGTTGGCGGATCGATTTGCCGATATCGTCTGAAAATTGAAATTATGGGCTTCTTTATATTTAGATCTTTGCTAGCCACCCGTTTACTGGTTTTCTAAAGTGCGCCCGGGTGAAATAGCCAGTAGAATTTTCAAGGCTAATTTTTCTCCGGCTACCGTAACCAAATCTGGTCTGGTTTACTGTAGATTGCTTTAGTCTGGCCTCTGGCATGGCTTGATCTGGTCAGATCAGCTTGATCAGTCCTACTACAGATTCGGCTTGATCCTAGCCTAAAAAGTTACCCGAGGCTAGCTAAGTCTAGATCGGATGAACTGATCTATTTTGGTTTTGGCTTACTTTTGCTTCAAAAGTTAATAAAGCTGTTAATAGATGGTTTAGAGGTCTTATTTTGTCTATAGCCAGATTACATTCATATATCTACTAACCAATCGAGGCTCTCCTCTCCTCGGGTCGAAATCGCTCGGCGAAGGCGGATCGTGTTTTTCCCGAGTCGTAGGATACCTAAATTTTCAATCGTACAAATACATGTATTACTTTTTTTGCGCTATCGGACATTTGGTACGCGCCTCGCCTTGGCAATCCAACTTTGTGCTCGAATATCTTCGTGTTGTGCTGTCCAATTTAAATAGTTTTGGTCCCAATCGAAAGAGAAAAGCTTGGCGCATCGAATGATATTAAGAGCACTTAAATTGGCACAGCCCAACAGCAAGATATTTGAGTTTAAAGTTAGATTGCCAATGGCAAAGGGGCGGAGTTGTGTGACCTTTTATAGGCGCCCCGGCACTTTGGCAATCTAACTTTGAGCTCGAATATCTTGGTGTTCGGTTATCTAATTCGAATATTCTTGTAATCATTAGATGCTTTCTCTATCGATTGGTATAAAAACTATTTCTATTGAACAACCCGAAGGCAAGATATTTGAGCTGAAAGTTGGATTGCCAGTGGCAAAGGGGGCGGGTCAAATGCCTCACAATCCTTTTTTTGGTCGTACTAAATGCACCACCTTGATCTGGGTCAATTGCAAGTCTAATTGATGGCAAATCCAGTGTTTTATGCTCCCGTACATTTATTCACACAAATAATGTGGTACAAACGTACTGTTACTGTTAATAATGTGGTACGAACGTACAAGAATAACCGCTAAGCCCTAAATATAGGGAAGAAAAAACTTATATATGTGGGAAAAAAAGAACCAATAATCTAGCCGGATTGAACCCTTGACCTCTCTCTTCCCTGGCTAAGATACTCTTAGCCAGTCGGCCATGGAGGGGAATGGTTCAAAGAGTCCTGGAGCCAGGCCCAACAAAGTACCTGGTTCTCTTGACCTTTTAAAATAGACTGTTGCAGCCAAAGAGTTAACCGGACTCTTGCAGTCAGCCAAAAAAATTTTCCCTCTTGTCTCAATAGAATAGAATTCGATTGTCTCATCTTCCTCACCTGTTCTGTACTCTTGATGACACTGCTTCTCAGTTGTTGACAAAGACGCTCACTTTGCAGTAACAATTCGATGACCATTTCCTGGAAAAGCCAACGTTTCAAGAAACAATTTGAATATATCCAATCGCTGTATTGAATATTTCATTTTTACCTCACTGAGATCTCTGAGCGAACTTGTCTCCGGGCCTCCTCCATCCAAACTCTCTAAGGGTTTCTTTCGTTTCCCGATAGTGTCACGTTCATTTTGGATCGCTGAAATGATACTTTTAACACAATTTGCATTTAATTTTTTGATAAAAACAAAGAGAAACCATTTGATTTCATGCCGGCAATGAGACATTTCCTTAATCGACACGCTCGACACGAGTTTCGGTGATCTGAAAGAGAAATTCATCTTTCTATTTCATGTCCGAGCTACCGTCTTTCAAAATTTCAAAAGCTACAGTGCTCTAAAAACGAGTGGCATTCGATTTTCTGCTCTCCAGAAATCTATTTCATGTCCCAGCTATCGCAGACTTAGAAATTTGTGATTGTGTGATTTGTGCCCCAGCTATCGCCGAAAAGTGGGATTTCGATGGCTTTTTATCCAGTTTTTGACGTCAATAAGCTTTTTTAAGTTTATAACTGCTATCTTAATATATCTAGATATGTTTTTGCATAGTATAACTTACAAGGGAATTGTACAATTGACTGAGCAGGTCATAGGCTATGTGATCTATAGCATTCGACGCAGAATTTGATGCTGATTCCGAATATGTATTCAGTTTTTGCTAAATGGCAACCTGTCAAGCGTTATAAACGTCTAAAGTTTTGTTAGGACTCTGAAAATGTCTTAGTGGACTCTGAATTTGGGTCTTAGCAGCCTCTTGCAGGCCGAATTCGGTGCAGAGTGGTACAACGCTCGCTTCATGAGCGAGATCTCACAGATTCGATCCCCTCTTTGGATTTTCTAGCCGATCCTCTCTTTGGATTTTTTGACAAACGCTAGCCAAGTGTCCTTTGTACGCGTGCACAACATATTTCTTGTTGTCACACTTTTATAAAGTTTTTTACACCCTTACAACGTTTAAAATTCAACTGCTCAGCATCAAATTCTGCGTCGAATGGTATAGGTCGCATAGCCTATGACCGGCTCAGTCAATTGTACAATTCCCTTGTAAGTTATACTATGCAAAAACAGCATTTGACCAGGTCAGCATTTGACCGGCTCCCCCTGACCTTTCTTTGTTAGTTTTTCACCAACTTTTATCCACCGGGCAGTTGTGGTCAAAGCGGCACACGTAGCTGCGCTTCTTGCGGATGCTTCGACGAAAAAAACCTGGAATGAAAAAGTTTAGAGGATTAAATTTGCATAATCTATTTGTAAACTATAATATCGAATTCTCTAAACCACCTTTACATCCATCACACGAAATTGCGCCGTAATGTTTCCCGGTTGCTTTATCGTTGCAAATGTGACAAATCTCGTCAACCATTTTTGCTGAAATTTGAGAAATTTCCCTTGAGATGAAAGCAATGCACATTTTTATCAGAAAATTTTAGACAAGAGATTTTAAAGGCTTTTGCCGCGTGCTCTGTGCTCTGAACGAGTAAATACACTTTTGGCACACAGAATTCTTCAGAAACAAACTGTTATCCCTAACAAAAAAAAGAATTCAGTGCTCCAGAAAGGGTATTTTTACCCATTTTGAGCACAAAAAGTACACAGCGAATAGGAAATGAATCAGCGAATTGTCAAAATTGAAAATACAAACAGAAATCGCTTCTTTAAAGCAATTCTAACAATAAGAATTGAGCTGATAAATTAGAAATTATGATAAATAACGATTTAAATGATTTTAAAACCTTTGAAAAGCTTTTTAAGTGATGTAATTTGCTAGTTAGATTGTAAAGATTTCCCTCCAAATATCATGTCGAATCTTTTCTTATCTCAAAACGGGGCTCTTCCCTTCTACATTTCCCCCCGGTTTTCCCCAATGTCAATCAATTCTTTTCTTTGCAAAAATTTACCCCCATTAATGAACTGAACAAATTTTATGGTCACGTGGCGATAAGTGAACGTTTAGTCGAAAAAATGAGTGGAAACTTGAAACTTGAAGTCAAAAAGGCAAAAGGCAAAGCTCTTTTTAAACATTGAAGATTTCAATGAGTTGATTTGCATAAATGTTCGAAAATGTTTTTTCTCCAAACTAGACTAGTCTCAAACATTAATTTACTTCAAAATTACGGCTCAGCCTTTATTCTCGAACTCACAAAGGAAGGTCACAAGGCTGAAGTGAGCCAAATGAAATGAGCCATATACTATACGACGCAGAAACATAAAACTTATTGTAAAGTTAAAATAGAGCGAATTCGAACGGTTTAAACATCAAAATAAAAGGAAAACAAAATGAGGGATCGAACCCGGAGCAAAAGCTTGGGCGCTTGCCTTGGAAACGAGACTCTTATCCACTACACCACAACATCACCGGCCGGCATGGTGAAAGAAGCCTTATATAGGACCTAATTTTTGAGGCAGGATCAATCAATCAAGCAAAGATCAGTCTCTATATAATGCTTCTTTCACCATCTCGGAGTGTGCTCGTGTGGTGGATAAGAGTCTCGTTTCCAAACCTGGCTTTCTAGTCTTTGCTCGGGTTCGATCCCTTTCTCTTCTTTTTGTTTTATTTTGATGGTTAACCGCTCGAATTCGTTCTATACTTTACAAGACAAGAAGACAATAAGTATAATGGCATCTTCAGACCGTAAGTATTATAACATCTATAGACAAGTAGCATGACGTAAAATTCTGTGTCGTATGGTATATGGCTCATATCATTTAACCACCTCAGCCTTGTGACCTCCCCTTCTCAGTTCAGAAGACAAACCAGGAACACCTGGTTTCCTGAAAATCTCCTTGCCTAGAAATTTTGGATTTTAAATGACTCTGCTCAGGGATAGCTTGGTTTTAAAAGGTGAAAAGTTTGAAATGGAAAAGAAATTGTTGAAAGAGTAAACAAACAGCAGCTAGCAGCAGGAATGGTGTTTTAAAAAGCAAAAATTTGTTTTGAATAGCTTGCACAGAAAAGTGAAACTGTTAGAAGGAAAACAATCAAAAAGATAATGATTGAATTTGTTTTAAAATCGGAATTGTGAAAGAGATGATTCAGCCCAATCTCTCTAAACGATCTTTCGATTTTGTCCCTTTTCTTGTTGATCTTTCTTTTCGTAGCTTTGGAGTCTTTTCCTTTTCCTCAGTTGATTTACAATCAGACCCCCGAAATTGCTGTTGGACCCGCTTCATTGTGTAGTTTGTCGTTTCCGTGATAAATTTTGGAATTTAAAGATCATTGATCTAGTCTAATAGTAAGGAAAATACTTCTAAAATCTAAAAACTTCTAAAATCTTCAAAAACCACAAAGCTAATTAACGTAAATCATACAAAAAGTTGTAGCAAATCATCCACGTCATAGAAATAACCCGGAAATTAGAGAATGTATTGGGTTGGGGAGAATGAGTCGGCGCCGAAAATGAAAAAAATGTCTAAAACTTCTATTCGACTTCGTCAAATAATATGCGTTTGATAGAAGTAGAATGGTTAACTAATTCTCTACAAAATGACATTTAAAAGAAAATTCAAACAGCACCTCCGCTCAAGAAAAGGCCATTTTTTCACAAAAACTACAAACTGTGATCTAGAAAAAACCATTGGTGGGATCTTCCTGCAAATTTGGCAACTTAAGTAATTGAATGTGCTCTATCTTTTTTATATAAACACCAAAGAAGGTTTATGTGAAAGAAATTGTTCAAATGATGAGTCGGACTCTTTGCCATTTTAACCAGCTGCGTTTGGAAGTTCATAAACTCCACGAAAGAAAAGCTTTGTGGAATCTCTCAAAAGTGATTTTGTAGAGAAATAGTGGATCCTTTTGATGAAACCAAACGTATGTTTAAAGAAGGCTTTATGTGTGCAAAAAGTCCCTTTAAAGTTCGGTTTAAAAAAGTCCCTTTAAAGACTCATTCTCCCCAACCCAATAGTTAAAACAGCGCCATAATCGAAAACGTTCAAAACAGCGCAGTAAAGAATGATTTCGAGAAGCTTTCATGTTAAACTTCAATTTTCGTCACAAATTTTAAATGTTAGCTTTATCTTATTGTTAAATGTTAATTTTCGCGCGACGTCGCATTCCAATTGACGTTGCCGCCATTTGGAGGTAGTCGATGGGAGCGTCGCGTCGTCCTTTCTTTTTCATTTTTTTTGTCATTTTTCAGATTGTCAGATTAATTGAAATTGTTGTTTTAAGCAATAAATTTTTTTGTTTCTCTTTGAAATGGGAAAGAAACCTATTTCCATGTGGGAGCCGAGTGGAGAATCCGGAATTTTTCGTAGCTCCGGCTCCGGCTACGAAATGCCAATGAACAATGTACAATGAACGAAATGCCAATGAACAATGAATGAGCACAATGAAGGCCAAAACTAATTGTAAGGTGGTTGGGGGAGTTGAATGGAAACAATAAAAGTAAAGTTCATTTCCTGGACCGTTAAAAACAGCGCCGTCAAATCCAAAAAACCAAGCCGGTTCAAAGTTATATACCAAAAAAAATTACTTGCTTTCTTGGCTAAATGATGGGTAAAACAGTTTTTTGAAAAAGCTCATATTTCATAGATAAAATTAGCGTTCAAAATATGTGTCGAGGGACACTCAGTTGGTTAACTGAATATCTTTCCCTAAAACCCTCAAAAAACACTTTTTTGGTTTAATTTAAAGAAGTAGTACTGTAAATAGAATTTTCGATTTGTAAAATAGAAATAGAAATAGAAATAGAAATAGAAATAGAAAAACTCGAAGATTTCTTGAAGCGATCAACCAATATAACTCTTGCACAAAAACAACAAAATTGAGAGAACCGGTGAACAGATCAACAGAATGCAATCCGATTTTTGCTTTTTCCAATAATCTTCCCCTTTTCCCCATTTTTTGTCATTGTTTTTCTGCGCAAATCTTTTCGCTCTCAATCTATAAAGTTAGCTAAAGATAAAGGAAATTTTTGAATGAAAAAAAAGCGAAAAAATGAATGGTGTGATGATCGAAAGCCGAGATCACATTGGGAAATCTTTCACGTGAAAAGAAACAATCAAAATGTTATCTTTTGAAAAAAAAAAACGATCAGACATGGAAATTGGCTTTTTGATTTAAGAAATAGAAAGAAATACTGTTATCATTCTTTTTAAAAAATAGTTTTCATATCAAAAAATGTTTCAAATTCTATGCTAAGCTTGAATTTGAAGTACAAAACCTAAAAATTTGGCAGAATTGGCAGAGCCAGGGTGGCAGAAATGTTACAAGCCAAATTTTTCATCCCAGGCCAGGTCAAACATCAGTCAAACTTGGGCCAAGGACCAGACTTTGCTAGATCTAGCAAATCACTAGCACTAGCACATCAGCAAATCACTAGCACTAGATCTAGCACTAGTTTCACCTCAAGATTCACAATCTTGGCAGCATAACTTCTTTCAAATTTAAAATTTTTGCCAACTGTTTATCTTTTTAGAAACTAAATGCAATTCTGCGTTTGCACATATGAAAATGATTTTGATTGGATAATAGAACGATTGGATTTGATTGGATAAAAGCTGAGTGATCAATGTTTAGGATTATTAGGTTGACAAGAAAGTCTTTTCGCTCCACCCAAAGCACCTACCAAACTTTTGTATGGTTAAAATTAAAGATAAACTAAATTACTAAACTTTAACTTAAACTTAAACAGCGCCACAAGTTTTTATTTTGACAAGCTTTGATGAAAGAAATGATTGAACTTCAGAAACGGGTCAAATTTTATTTTTTCCGAGTTCGCGCGTTCTTTTGACTCGGAATTTATCAAAATATCATGATTTTACGCTATAGAACCCTATAGAAACTCTAAAAGGACAAAGTTTGCATGAATTTGCATTTAAAGCTTCAATTTATTCAAGCGAACAAGGTAGTGGTGACCCAATTCTATGACTTGATCTGGTCTCTCAGAGCTGGAAGATTTTAGCCAAGTTTCTAACATTCTTGACCCGGTCAGGCTTGGCCTGTGATAGTAGCTGGCCTAAATAGCCATTAGATGCATACTAGAACAATTGTAATGCAAATCGACCAATCGTAATGCATAAAAATCGCAAAATATCTATCGAAAACCCTTCGACTTTTATTTGTTATTTATACACCATATCCATTTACACAGTCACGCCGTAAATCTCTAGGAAAAAAAACGCAAGCGGATTTTGACGTAAGCGCGAAGAAAACAAGGATTACTGAGGGGAAATCCGATTTTTGATTCCCACAGCTGATTTCCCTAAGCAAAAATTAGATCCCAATCTTCTTTTGTTTATCAAATCGTTCAAAAAAGCACTCAAATTTGGCTGATGATCAGGAAATATTTGAGATAAACAAATAGATATAAATATCTAGCTATAAATATCTAGTTATAAATAGCTATATAGAGATTTTAA